TAAACACATAATTGTAGTGAAATATCCTCTATATAGGCTATATAAATCTTCCATCTTATTTTGCAACACAGCATGAGCTATTTCTGTAGCCTACATCTAAAATAAAAATATAAATGTGCATATAAGCCAGACTTGACACATATAACAAATGTGAATGAATTAAATCATAATACAACATGAGAGCCCTGATAAACGCAAGAATGAACTATATAAGAAACACATTAAAATACTAGAAAACACTAAAAAGAATCCAGCAAACATGAGCTGCCAGAGAATTTAAGCAACTTGTTGAAAATACCAGGGATACAGTCTACAATAAAAGCAGTGATAGAATTTCTTAAAAGAACACAGTTAGCAAAAAGAATTTAGTCTTAGTGTTTATTTTAGTTTTATTTTATTTTCTATGGAGGTTGAGTCAAGGTTGAAACTGGAGGAGCTAAACACGTAGCGCCAGCTGAAGCTTGGGCTCTAACTCTCTGTTATTTATTTATTAAATTTTCTCTCCCAATGTGATCACACCCATTCCAGTAGATGGCGGTAATGCACATAGCTTGCAAACTGCCAATAAAAATCACAGAAGAAGAAGAAGAAGAAGATGAGCTGCCAGAGTCAGTAGGTGGCGATAGAGACTTTAGTGGAGCGATTCCGCACGAGCGAGCGAGTCTTTGAATCATTCACTAACCGACTCGTTCAAAAGCATCGACTCATTCAGGAAGGAAACGTCGTGTCTCGCTTCGTTTGGAACTATTTCGTTGGAGATGATGCAACAATATCCGTCTATGTTGTGTCCAAAAAATGTAAGTTAATCAATATTAACCTCTTGTTTATTGAACTATTGATGATGTTTAGATTGACAGTTTGTGCCCTCGTTATCATTTGCTTATAAAATCTTAGAATGTTTAAAAAGCTTTAAAGTCCCCCTGTGTTGAAAATCCAGCTTTTAATGTTGTTTATGTGTCAATTTTAACATGCTTTAAGACAATCCATGTGTAAGTTGATAAGTGGACAGCATTGCTGAGTATTTCCTCCTTTAAACCACCAAAGACAGTCTCAAAAACACGCTTTGAAATCGCTGGCGTTTCTGACGTCACATACCACCTTGTAACCAATCAGATCAACGAGTGATCGTCAACCTGTGGATCTCTGAGTGAGTGAGTGAGTGAGTGAGTGGAGGCGGGGCTTATTTGCATATTCATAGAACCACACATACTAAATGAGGCGAGGGTCTCGAGTTACGTTCAAGATATTTTAAGACATGAAGACGTTTTTCAAGAACGTTTAAATATGTTATTTTGGTGGTCAAAGATGAGTTTTAAGGGATAAAATGATTGACGGGTGACTTTAACCTCGGCTAAGAGAAATGAATTTGTATATAATGTAAACATCACCTGACTGCTTTATAATGGCAGACACAGAGATCACTGCTACGGCACAGCATTTACAGTATCCAGACCCAGACAGTGTCGGCCCAGACCCGGTACATGTGGATCCAGCGCGTACCAGATGTGGGCCGGATCTGAGCCGACACTGCTGCTATCTGGTCAACCTCCTGTTATTTAATGATGACAACCTCCTTGAATTTCAAAACAAGTCTATATATGAATATGAATTGAACTTGAACAGACTTAACTTGAACTCTTCTGCTTAATGCAGTTTAGAATAGTCAGCATTAGTTAAATACCTTAGATAATGAGCTAATAATGAACAATACTTCAGCATTTAGTAATCTTAGTTCATATTAATTTTAACATTTTCTAATACATTATTAAAATCAAAGGTTGTGTTAGTTAACATTAGTTACTGCACTGTGAACTAACAAAGAACAGCTGGATTATTATTAACTAACATTAACAAAGATTAATAAATACTGTAACAAATGCATTGCTCATGTTAATAAGATAATGTTAACTAATGAAGCTTATTGTAAAGTGTGACTGTTTTTTCATTGTTTTTTTTTTGAGTGTGTGTGTGTGTGTGTCACGGGCAGTTTTGGGTGTAAGTAATTAGTTATTGTAATTTAAAATGTAAAGTAAGGGATTACTCTTCATTTATCTGTAATTTAATTACAGTTACTTCTGATGTAATTGAGGTAAATAATGTGTATAGATCAATCCGATCTCACAGCGATTCTTATGCATTTTATGAGGAATCTAAATACGACCGCACTCGTACAAATGCGTATGAATTATTGTAAAATATGTGCAAAAAAGTGTGAAATGTCATGAGATCAGACATAAAACAATAGTGGGTTTAACATCAAAATGTATTGTCTGATGCTAAAAAGTATGTTTTTATAATGTAACCTTCTCCACCTTGGTCAGTTTAAGGATAATTCATGCAATTTTATAGTATTTATTTGAAAAAATTAAAACAGATTCTTGTCTATCCTTGTATTATTCGGCTGGTTGAGATTGATATGGGATTTTGAAAGTAATTAGTAATTAAAAGTAATTAAATACTTTTTAGAGAGAGTAATTAGTACAGTAATCTGATTACACTGTTGAAGAGGTAATTAGTAACTAGTAATTAGTTACTTTTTTTAGAGTGACTTACCCAACACTGGTCACGTGTGTGTGTTTGAGCGTTTCAGAGCAGCTTTACAGAGATAACAGGACAATAATTTAACACAGTTTCCAAAAGAGAAGTCCGGCTTGAGTGAGTTCGGTGCTGGTTACAGTGGGACGCGGGAGTGAGTTCAGTGCTGGTTACAGTGGGACGCGGGAGTGAGTTCGGTGCTGGTTACAGTGGGACGCGGGAGTGAGTTCAGTGCTGGTTACAGTGGGACGCGGGAGTGAGTTCAGTGCTGGTTACAGTGGGACGCGGGAGTGAGTTCAGTGCTGGTTACAGTGGGACGCGGGAGTGAGTTCAGTGCTGGTTACAGTGGGACGCGGGAGTGAGTTCAGTGCTGGTTACAGTGGGACGCAGGAGGAGCTGAGACTGAAGAAACTCTCTCTCCTTCGCTCAGGTTCATCCACTGAAGCTCCGACACCAGAGCGCCATGAGGGACCGAGACGAGCTGAAGAACGCCGTCGAGCAGAACCAGCGCTTGCTGTCCCGAGTCCGGCAGCTGGAGGGGGAGAAGCAGGAGCTGGCGGTGCAGGTGTGTGTGTGTGTGTGTGTGTGTGTGTCAGGAGTCGCGTCTGGCACTTCTGCTGGAAATACGTCTGGTTTCATTTTATACTTTAATGCACATGCATCTCGAGTGATAAATATAATGCATTATACATTTATTAGAAATAATATTAGAAATGATCATAATAGTGTCTAGAGCACAAGTGAAAATGCATCTGTTTTTGCATTTTATACTTTAATGCACATGCTTCTCGAGTGAAAAATATAGTGAATTAAATATTTGTTATAAATGATCAGATTATTGTCTAATGCTTCTGTTTAACATTTTTCCACTTAAATGCACATGCTTTCTATAAATATCTATACAGATTAGTGACCTTGAAGTTACAATGCAGAATCTGAAATATTTACATCACAAATTGCATTTTTTTTTAAAGTCTTAAATCTTTTGTTTGTCTTTTGTAAATGTGTATTTCCAGTGCGCTCAGAGACTTGGACTCTGGCTCGATATGGTTTTATTCCTGCTGTTTCATATTAAGGTGGTTATTTATTACTCTGCTGGTAGACAGTTTACAGTGCATAATAATATGGTTTCATGGACTGAGTTATTCAGCAAAGATCCGCCGTCCGTCTGTGAGCTGTTTTTGTGTGTTGACTGAGCTCTGGTGGTTCGTTCTCGTTGTGATGGAGAGACGTGATTGTGCGACACTAGTATTCGAGCTACAGATGTTGTGTGGCCCGCTGGGTGGAGAAGTGTGTCTGGGTCTGGGCTGATATTGCCACGCTGCAGCTCGGCCGAGGTAGAGGAAGATGTGAGCTGTGATTGCTTTAGCAGACGCTCATTCTCTCATGCGCTTCTCTTCCTTTCAGTAAATCACTGTATTGCGGCTTGGATGGAGTGAACAAGTGTGCTTATAAGTGTATTTATGCAGGGACCTTTAAAGTTTGTAGCCAAGCTTGACTCTTCCAGTGTGTTTGTGTGTATATATCATTCATTTTTAATTAGAGGTGCACGATTAATCGTTAAAAGATTGTGATTTCGATTCAAAGACCCACATGATCTTGTTCCTAAATGACAGTGATTGGCATAAATGATCACATAAGCACTGGGGTAAAACTTTATAGTTTGGACATGTGATGTCTACGGAAGTGATCAAAATAGAGCAAATCACCTTTTAAAAGTAACTTGACACTTCAAATAAAGATTGCAGCAATTACATAATTACACCAGTAGGTGGAGACAAGAGACTGTTCAAAATCTATTTGTCATTGAATCATTCATTCATTCATTCATTCATTCATTCATTCATTCATTCATTCATTCATTCAAGAGATTTGTTCGTAAACACAGATTCATCTAGTAATGAAACAAGTGAAGTCTTTAAATGAGTCATTGAATCATTCACGCGCCACACATTTTTCAGCCTACAACTGATCTTGCCTTGTCAGACATGGGTCAAATGATCTGATATTTTTGGAGACATCGATACAATCATTAATGTCTTCATAATACTGTGTGTGTCATCGGGTTATAGGAGGTATTTAGAATCATTCTTTGCCAACAAGTTTATTCTTCATTATTTTTTTACTGGATATGAAAGGTGTCTTTTGACTTTTCTGTACCTTTAGCTGCTAATAAAGAGTAAAATAATGAATAAAATGCTCCCTGGTCCGAGTTCACGGCGCCAGTGTTTGGCTCAAGATGACAAACTTTTATTTTTTTTTACTGTATTTTTGGATAGCCGTCAGAAAGGGTCAGAGTTTTGTCCTGTTCTATGTGTAGGAATATCAATTTAACACAAACTGGATGCCACAGTGTTAACTGAACAAATGCTGATATAGTGCATGATTTAATGCCAGGTGATTATGAATCATGCATTTGACCCTGTGTAAGGTTATTCTGGCTGATCTTGCTGATCTGATTTCCAGTGTTCTTGGAAAATGGGCCCTCTTTGTGTCCCTCCCGAGTCCTTCCCCATCTCTGCTGTAATTACACCAGACCCAGATCCACACAACCGTACTCCATCCGTCCCTCTGTCAGCTCACAGCCGCTGATTACTGGGTTAGATGCAGGAGATTCATTGGGTCTTATCGGAGAGTACATTCTTTTAAAACCACACTTGACATTTTTAATATCACATTTAATGCACTGGCATGAGAACAGATCTTTTTGTGTGACTCAAGAGTTAGAAAAGTTTTTTCTTCTACTTTTTGATGGACTGGAGTCTATTATTAATATCACCAATAACTTCCAAATGATCAGAACGAGTGCAGATCTAAACAGCCGTTTCAGCATTTCCAGATTCATGGCCGTCTCTCTCATCTTTCTCTTTGATTCTTGTCATAAACTTTTGAATTTAGTCTTGAGAATTCAGAAATACCGTCGCAGCTACTTCATTAAGTGTGGAAGCTTATTTCTGCCACTAAATAAAAACTTGTTGAAATATAATCTCAAAGGTTTTAACTTTTTTCTCATAATTGTGAGTTTAGATCTTGCAGTTGTGCAGTCTAGACTCAAAATTCAGAGAAAAAAACACAATTTCTAGATATAAACTCATAATTCCAAGGAAGAGGTCAGGATTGAGAGATGTAAACCCAGAATTCAGAGGAAAAAACTCAGTATTGAGAGATGGTAACCCAGAATATCAAGGAAAATGTCAGGATTGAGAGATGTAAACGCAGAATTCCAAGGAAAAGGTCCGAATTGACAGATATAAAACTAGAATTCGGAGGAAAAATATCAGGATTGAGAAAAGTAAACCCAGAATTCCAAGAAAAATATCAGGATTGAGAGATATAACCCAGAAATCCAAGGAAAATTTCAGGATTGAGAGCTATTAACCCAGAATTCCAAGGAAAATATCAGTATTGAGACATGTAAACGCAGAATTCCAAGGAAAAGGTCAGGATTTAGAAAAGTAAACCCAGAATTCCAAGGAAAATGTCAGGATTGAGAGATGTAAATGCAGAATTCCAAGGAAAATGTCAGAATTGAGAGATGTAAACCCAGAATTCCAAGGAAAATGTCAGAATTGAGAGATGTAAACCCAGAATTCCAAGGAAAATGTCAGAATTGAGAGATGTAAACCCAGAATTCCAAGGAAAATGTCAGAATTGAGAGATGTAAACCCAGAATTCCAAGGAAAATGTCAGAATTGAGAGATGTAAACCCAGAATTCCAAGGAAAATGTCAGAATTGAGAGATGTAAATGCAGAAGTCCAAGGAAAATATCAGGATTGAGACATGTAAATGCAGAATTCCAAGAAAAGGGTCAGGATTGAGAGATGTAAACCTAGATTTCCAAGGAAAATGTCAGAATTGAGAGATGTAAATGCAGAATTCCAAGGAAAATTTCAGGATTGAGAGATGTAAACCCAGAATTCCAAGGAAAATATCAGGATTGAGAGATATAACCCAGAAATCCAAGGAAAATTTCAGGATTGAGAGCTATTAACCCAGAATTCCAAGGAAAATATCAGTATTGAGACATGTAAACGCAGAATTCCAAGGAAAAGGTCAGGATTTAGAAAAGTAAACCCAGAATTCCAAGGAAAATGTCAGGATTGAGAGATGTAAATGCAGAATTCCAAGGAAAATTTCAGGATTGAGAGATGTAAACCTAGAATTTCAAGGAAATGTGAGGATTGAGAGATGTAAATGCAGAATTCCAAGGAAAGGGTCAGGATTGAGAGATGTAAACCCAAAATTCCAAGAAAAATATCAGAATTTCAAAATATAAATCCAGAATTCAGAGGAAAAAAAACTCAGGATTGAGAAAAGTAAACCCAGAATTCCAAGGAAAATATCAGGATTGAGAGATATAACCCAGAATTCCAAGGAAAATATCAGTATTGAGAGATGTAAACTCAAAATTCCAAGGAAAATGTCAGGATTGAGAGATATAACCCAGAATTCCAAGGAAAATATCAGTATTGAGAGATGTAAACTCAAAATTCCAAGGAAAATGTCAGGATTGAGAGATGTATACCAAGAATTCCAAGGAAAAGGTCAGGACTTAGAAAAGTAAACCCAGAGTTCCAAGGAAAATAGCAGTATTGAGAGATGTAAACCCAAAATTTCAAGGAAAAGATCAGGTTTGAGAGATGTAAACCCAGAATTCCGCTACCATGGCTACCACCGCTGCTCCTGCATGAGCCGCCCACTTGCGTGCACCCGGTTGACTCGCTCAATTCGGAAGAGGAGAGGCACTTACGGGCCGGAAGCTACTGTAAGAAGTCTCACAATTATGGTGGAGAAAGAGCAGTCCAAATTCCCAGTAGCACCTGTACCTGCATATACAGTCAGCGCAGGCAAACAAGGCAAACACATGATGTCACTCCATGCTCCTCCCCTCTCGGTCGCATCATGCGCTCATGTGTTCTGGGGGCGGGGCTTTGGAAGGAGCCCAGCAGGGAGGGGTGGCAGTTTCTCTGGTGGATACTCTCAAAATCAGCAGTTTTCTGCTAGTTTCTCAAACTCACCTACCCTGCCTTTAACGAGTCTGTCGTGTCGTGCCACGAAACCACATTGCTAACTGTCTGTCATCAAACCTCAGTGTAGTTTTGGTGTTTTTCCGCACTCCCTTCTCAACAGTTGTCATACTATAAACAAGCACAAGAAAAAAACAAGATTGTTTGGTTATAATTTATGTCATAATGCTCGCCATTATTTAGTCTGGACGTCTACGCAGTCTCAGCCAGTGCATAGAGTGTGTGTAGGCCCTCCGTCACACGTATTGGTATGTCGTTGGGAAAGCAATTCATCAATAACGTTACATACAGCGTAGATTACATGCGTTGATTCAGTCACACCTGTGGAGATATGATCTCCGTCTGCCAGTAATGGTTCTGGCTTCACCTGCAGATGTAGATGGTTGATGTCTGAGGGCTTCGACTGTTTTGTCTGGTGATTCATGTAGAAAATGAATGGCAAACAGATTTGTACATAGATTATAGCTTTGTTCTCCTGACACTCACAGACATTTTCCAGACTGTGGGCATGGATTGTTATTTTAAGTAAATGCACGAGAGAGACCACAGATATTTGTCCGCGCTGTTTCTCGTTCATTCACTTTAATCTTGCGAATAACACAAGCCCGATAGTGACATCACACCATTTGTTATTCTACACCTCGGCCCAAACAACAGCGCCGCTCAGGACTTCTGGATGAGTTAGGTCTCCAACAGCTGGACGCCTCCTGTGCTGTTCCTCCAGCTGTTGGAGACGCGTCCCGTCTGAGCAAATCACTGCCGTCTCGCAGAGATGGATGGAGTTTGTCAGGTTTCATCTGTAGAAGCTGAGCATGAGGATCTGGATTGGGACAGTTTCACCACGTCAGTCCCACTCCATCAGGTACTGTGTGTGTGTGTGTGTGTTCTGGTAATGCATGTTTATGGTGCCGAGTACGCCAAAGTCATGGGTTTGATTCCCAGAGAACGCCTACCTGTGAATGCTTACCTTACTTCACTGTTGAGTTGCGTTAGATAAATGAATGCATTTGAATGTTGTAATTGTATCCTTGCATTTCTAGATCACTTGTGTTGAAGAGTAAGTGCATCATTTCAGAATTGCTCAAACTGAATGTGAGCTTCACAATGCTTGTGTGTAGTTGTTAAAGCGTTCAGGGTGGTTCATTGGTTGCTATGCAGTTGTTAGGACATTGATAGGACAGTCTTTATTGGTAAAAGTCAAAAGAGCGCACTCCCAAGTGTGATATTCCCTAGAGTCACTCCTTCAAACTAAGTCTCGAACGTTTTATCATCCGCCAGGTGGAAATCCCAGCGGTGCCTTGGCAAAAACCACTAATTACTGTTTGCAAGTGGATCAGGGTGTCTATGCACTGGGTTTGATGAATGCATCAACCCACACCATATTACGCCTATTTCTATAATGTGTGCATTTTGCAGGTTCTCGACAAATATCTATTAAGCACACACTTAACAAATGGCATTAGAAACAGAATGTGAAAAACACTTTTATACATGATAAAGCATCCAAATATTCAACCATTGGGGTTGTGTCTCTCACAGTGTTATAAACAGATTTACTAGCTAGTCAAACACGTATGAGTGGGGGCACTTGTCAGGGTGATTGAATTCAGAGCACAATAAACACATTTATGGAAAAATCATGCATGAGGCATCCAGTGACCCTCATATTTGTGTGTTTTTAACTTGGTGCAGATACTTTAGTCATGATGACACGTTTCTGAGGAGAGATCAGAAAGCAGAGCTTTTTATGTCCTGTTGGGACTAGTTTGGTAAATGATCCGCTTCGCTGAGAGAAGATCGTTTTGTCCTCCTCATGCTTGTAGAAGTCTTCAGATCACAGGACAAACATCAGCTGCTGGATGCCAGGGGTTTTGTTGCTCTTTTCGCTGTCGTGACCCTCTGAGTGTGTGTCGTCTGAGGCTGCTGGAGAAGGTCACTTTATTTCTTATAAACTTTATTTGTCATATTGGCAATTTTTTAACTTTGCAGATTTATTTCTCGTAATGTTGACTACGTTTCTTTTAATTGTGACAATTTTTTTTGTAATTGTTACTATTACTTGTAATTGCAGTTTTATTTCTTGTAATTGCAACTATATTTCTTGAATTTGCAACTATATTTCTTTTAATTGTGACTGTATTTCTCGTAATTGTATTTGCAACTATATTTCTTCTAATTGTGTATTTCTTTTAATTGCATCTTTATTTCTCATAATTGCTTCCATTTCTTTTAATTGGAACAATTTTTCTTGTGACCATCTCTCATAATTGCGACTTTATTTCTCATAATTGTGACGACTTTCTTTTAATTGCAACTATATTTTTTGCAATTGTGACTATTTCTCATAATTGCATATATTTCTCGTAATATCAACTATATTTTTTGTAATTGTGACTATTTTTCATAATTGCGTCTATTTCTCGTAATATTAACTATATTTCTTGTAATTGTGACTATTTTTCATAATAGCCTCTATTTCTCGTAATTGTGACTATTTTTCATAATTGCATCTATTACTCGTAATATTGACTATATTTCTCGTAATTGTAACTATTTTTCATGATTGCATCTATTTCTCGTAATATTGACTATATTTCTCGTAATTGTGACTTTTTCATAATTGTGACTATTTTTCATAATTGCATCTATTTCTCATAATATCGACTATATTTTTTCGTAATTGTGACTATTTTTCATAATTGTGACTATTTTTCATAATTCCATCTATTTCTCGTAATATTGACTATATTTATTGTAATTGTGATTATTTTTCATAATTGCATCTATTTCTCGTAATATTGACTGTATTTCTCGTAATTGTGACTATTTTTCATAATTGCATCTATTTCTTGTAATATTGACTATATTTCTTGTAATTGTGACTATTTTTCATAATTGCATCTATTTCTTGTAATATTGACTATATTTCTTGTAATTGTGACTATTTTTCATAGTTGCATCTATTTCTCGTAATATCGACTATATTTCTCGTAATTGTGACTATTTTTCATAATTGCATCTATTTCTTGTAATATTGACTATATTTCTTGTAATTGTGACTATTTTTCATAGTTGCATCTATTTCTCGTAATATCGACTATATTTCTCGTAATTGTGACTATTTTTCATAAATGCATCTATTTCTTGTAATATTGACTATATTTTTCATAATTGTGACTATTTTTCATAGTTGCATCTATTTCTCGTAATATCGACTATATTTCTCGTAATTGTGACTATTTTTCATAATTGCATCTATTTCTCGTAATTGTGACTATTTTTCATAATTGCATCTATTTCTCGTAATTGTGACTATATTTCTCGTAATTGTGACTATTTTTCATAATTGTAACTATTTTTCATAATTGCATCTATTTCTCGTAATTTTGACTATATTTCTCGTAATTGTGACTATTTTTCATAGTTGCATCTATTTCTCGTAATATCGACTATATTTCTCGTAATTGTAACTATTTTTCATAATTGCATCTATTTCTCGTAATTGTGACTATTTTACATAATTGCATCTATTTCTCGTAATATTGACTATATTTCTTGTAATTGTGACTATTTTTCATAATTGCATCTGTTTCTCGTAATATTGACGATATTTCTCGTAATTGTGACTATTTTTTATAGTTGCATCTATTTCTTGTAATATCAGCTATATTTCTTGTAATTGTGACTATTTTTCATAATTGTGACTATTTTTCATAATTGCATCTATTTCTCGTAATATTGACTATATTTCTCATAATTGTGACTATTTTTCATAATTGCATCTATTTCTCGTAATATTGACTATATTTTTCATAATTGTGACTATTTTTCATAATTGCATCTATTTCTCATAATATCGAGTTCTATATTCGAGATACTATATTTCTTATAATCACGGTTACTCGTAATTATGGCTATATTTCTCATAATTTCATCTTTTTTTCCTGTAATTGTGACTATTTCTCATAATTGGAACTTTTTTTTAATCACAACTTTATATTGCGTAAATGCTACTTCATTTCTCATAATTGCAAGTATTTTTTAAAAATTGCAAACGTTTATCTTGAATTGTGACGATTACGAAAATAATTCTGCAAGTCAAATAATTGTGAATAATGTGGTCCGGATCCTGCGGCAGAAGCCTCAGTGTTCAGGTCACAGGACGGCTGTGAAAGCTCGTCTGCTGCTGTCGTCCGCCTGTGGAGGTGTTCCCTGAGGTCGAGTGCGCTGTGCAGTGTGAGACTCATCATTGCCTCTCGTTCTGCAGGAGCAGGAGAGCCTCCGGCGGGCCGAGCGTCTGGAGGAGCGTCTGGAGGAGCTGGAGAACACACTGGCTTCAGTGGAGAAGGGCAAGCAGGTACGGCTGAGGAGGCGCACACGCGTTTGACCCCTGCTCTCACTGACCAGGTTTTTCCACTGTGCTAAATCATGCTTCATTAGTAGTCTGGACAATATCAGTGTAATTCATGTTTTGGAGCTGATGTGCTACACTTTTTTGTTGGAACTTGGGACTAATCTAGATTTTAACTTCAGATAATAAGGAATCATTTATTTTCTTTAAAACTTGCATGCAAAAATATGCATTTGGAAACATCATGGAAACTTTAAGGAATCTTCAAGTAAAAAAAGTGACTATATTTTACAATTACTTCTCATAATTGCTCATTTTTTATCTTACAAATGTGACTTCTAACTGTAACTATTTATTAAATGCAACTTTATTTTTTGTTATTGAGTCTTTATATCATATAATCACTTACAGTTCTTACAACATCTTACAATTCACATTTGAAATTTGGCGTAATATTACCGTGGGTGAGGGTTGTTCTGACAGCCGGTGTCAGGATCCTTTAGTTGGTGTTTGTACGATATATAGATGCTGGCGGTAACGGTAACACAAGCCCAGACCTGTACAGCTCGTCTTTTACTCTTCAACTGGAAAGCGTTTGTAGTCCATGTGTTTTCATAGCAACACTGTGTCTGACTTCACGTGTGACCTCAACTCACACACAAATAGCTAAATTAACAACATGACATTCATAGTTTCTAAATTGAAAACAAAACCCTTGAAATGTTCAAAAATATAATAAGTTCCTTAAGCATTGTGACATGATCATCATAATTGTTGCGTTGACTGCACTTAAAGCATAAAGCAGTGCTGACTTGTAATTCAAGCTAGGTGTGCTACCTTTCAATTACAGCTCGCATGCAGGCCATCATTCTCCCAACTCTGATCGCGTCTCATCTCTCAACAATTTACAGTAACTGCAGATGTTTGGAGTGGAGATACTCCTCGTTTATGTGTGTTTGAGTTCAGAGGGAAGTGAAATGACAGCTGTGTATAAGGATGAAAGTATTCGAGGAGCTTCTCTACCCTTCTGCTCTACATCTGCTTCTCAAAGCTCCGACACACACACACACACACACACACACACATACACACACACGCTCGTCCTATATTAGTCCCTCATGTCGTTCTTGAAACAAATCACATCTGCCACATACAAAGTCAGTGTGAGCCTTTTCTTTTTTTGATGAAACTTTTCATATTGAGACTTTATTACTTGTAATTGTGAGTTTATTTCTCCCAATTATGACAATTTCTGGTCATTGTGGTTTTATTTCTTGTAGTTGGGACGATTTCTTGTAATTGTGTGACTTTATTTAGTTTAATTGTGTCTTTTTCTCATAATTGTGACCTTCTTATGATTGATTTCATTGCTTGTAATTGTGACTATTTTGCGATGTTTTCTTGTATTTTCAACAATTTCTTGTAATTGCAACTATTTCTAATAACTGTGACTATTTCTAATAATTGAGACTTTATTTCTTGTTATTGCGACTATTTCTTGTAATTGTGACTTTATTTCTCATATTAGAACTTTATTTGTCATGATGGCAACTATATCTAGAATGGTAATTCGGACTTTATTTCTTATAACTGTGGCTATTTTTCATATTTATGAATATTTCTCATAATTGTTACTATTTCTTGTAATTGTGACTTTATTTCTCATATTAGAACATCATGGAAATCATCATATTAGGAATTTATTTCTCAATTTCTTTAATTGCGACTTTATTACTCGTAATTGCGACTTTATTACTCGTAATTGCGACTTTATTACTCGTAATTGTGACTTTAATTCTCATATTAGGAATTTATTTCTCAATTTCTTTAATTGCGACTTTATTACTCGTAATTCCAACTTTATTACTCATAATTGCGACTTTATTACTCAATTGCGACTTTATTGCTCGTAAGTGCAACTTTATTACTCTTAATTGCGACTTTAATTCTCATATTAGGACTATTGCTCAAAATTTCTTTAATTGCAACTTTATTACTCGTAATTGCGTCATTATTACTCGTAATTGCGACTTTATTACTCATAATTGCGTCATTATTACTCGGTAATTGCGACTTTATTACTCTTAATTGCAACTTTATTACTCGTAATTGTGACTTTAATTCTCATATTAGGACTTTATTGCTCAAAATTTCTTTAATTGCAACTTTATTACTCGTAATTCTGACTTTATTACTCGTAATTCCAACTTTATTACTCATAATTGCGACTTTATTACTCGTAATTCTGACTTTATTACTCCTAATTGCCACTTTATTACTCATAATTGTGACTAATTCTCATATTAGGACTTTATTGCTCAATTTCTTTAATTGCGACTTTATTACTCGTAATTCCGACATTATTACTCGTAATTGCGACTTTATTACTCGTAATTGTGACTTTAATTCTCATATTAGGACTTTATTGCTCAAAATTTCTTTAATTGCGACTTTATTACTCGTAATTCCGACATTATTACTCGTAATTGCGACTTTATTACTCGTAATTGCGACTTTATTACTTGTAATTGTGACTTTATTTCTCATATTAGGACTTTATTGCTCAATTTCTTTAATTCCGACTTTATTACTAATAATTACGACTTTATTACTCGTAATTGTGACTTTAATTCTCATATTAGGACTTTATTGCTCAAAATTTCTTTAATTGCGACTTTATTACTAATAATTCCGACTTTATTACTCGTAATTTTGACTTTAATTCTCATATTAGGACTTTATTGCTCAAAATTTCTTTAATTCCGACTTTATTACTCGTAATTGTGACTTTATTACTCGTAATTGTGACTTTATTACTCGTAATTGTGACTTTAATTCCCATAATCGCGAATTTAATTCTCCAATTGCAAATGTGTTTCTCTCATTGTGACTTGCGATTTCTCCTCCCTGCACATGTTTATGATGCTCATGTTTTCTCCGCCTGTGTTCAGTCGGCAGACGCTGCGGTGAGGAAGCTGTCCGAGGACCTCGTCCAGAAGAGCGCCCGGCTTCAGACGCTGCAGAAAGAGAAGGAGCACCTGGTGGAGTGGAGCCAGGTGTGTGTCGTGGGAGTGCGTTCTCTGTTAATGACCAGTGTGTGTACAGTAGCAGTGTGTCCTGCTGGGCACGCTCAGACAGATGTGGGACAGTTTCGGGGATGCAGTGCTGTGAAGGTCGGCCATGAGGCACAGGGTTTTCGTCTGCATGCGACAGACGCATCTGGAAGACAAGTTGGGGGTCGTTAACAACAAGTCGTTTCCTACTTTAATCTGGAAAGTAACTTAGAGAGTTCAGGTCACTGCTGTGATTATTTCTTAAATAATGAAAAATATTTCCTGCAAAATAGTTTATTATGAGAGTTTCAGTTTGAACTGCTGTGAGATTACAGATCCAAACACAGCGCATGGCTCGAATACGGCACTCTAGTAATAGAAACGGATTTACATGTCATAATAGTTGTGTGTTTTTTTTGATGATAATTCTGTGTTTCAGAAGAATTTTGTTGTCTTGCATCTGGTTCTATGAATATGCAAATGAGCCCCGCCTCCACTCACTCACTCAGAGATCCACTGGTGGTCGATCACACGTTGATCTGATTGGTTACAAGGTGGTTTGTGACGTCAGAAACACCAGCGATTTCAAAGCGTGTTTTTGAGACTGTCTTTGGTTCACTGCAGTTTTAAGGAGGAAATACTCAGCAATGCTGTCCACTTATCAACGCACACACGGTGTGTGTTAAAGCAGATTAAAAACACTACATACACACATAAACAATGTTAAAAGCTTTCACCACAGGGGGACTTTAACATTTATTCAAGATGTTATAAGCATATCGTTAGTTGTGCTTGAAATCGATTGTTGTACGTATGTGTGATAATAATGCAATGAAACATTACAAATTCTGCTAATAATTTTGTCAGATAAATACCGTGACCAAGTTTAGTGTTTTGTGCTTTGCTCATATTTTAAATGTATATAACATTTTCCCCTCCGAACATCAGCCCTTCATTGGCCGCAGCTGTACAGTATTTGTGTTCATGTTGATGCAGAGCACCCTTTAGTTCACCTCAGAAAGTCAAGAAGTGTCTTTTTCTCTTCTCTCGATCTCTTTTGAGCTCTATAAAACTCTACGAGCGGTGTAGAGCAACGTAAGCCAGATGTCTAACAGTAGCAGCTCATCTGTGTGATTTACGACCCGTGGTTTTACCTTCTCAACCCAGTTGCCAGAGCTGTCAGATGGTTATTTGAGCTCTTCATTCAAGGAGTCAAAGCCCAGTGTTGGGTTGGCGCGGTGTGGTTTGCACTTTTGTTTGCTTTGCTTTGCTTTAGACAGGAATGAATGTGCCCTTCAGGCTCTGATTTGATTAAGACATCATGCTTCCTCTGACATCTTGTGTGATCGAGCGAATGAAAGCATCCTGGACAGATTTATGCCACATCTGCTCGACAGACTCATTTGACCCTCTGTTTTATCTTTGCAGCAGGCCATCGAGGACTTGCAGTGCGAGGAAGAGAAGGTGAACCTCTTGACCAAAGAGAAAGCCAAGCTAAAGCTTCAGGCGGAAGATGTGAGTCTGTGTCTGCGGTCCAGAACAGTGTTGGGGAAAGTTACTTTGAAAAGCAATGCATTATAGTATTGCGTTACTTCCTTAAAAAGTAGCTTATTGCGTGACTTAGTTCATTTATTAGAAAAGTAATGCATTACAATATTGTGTTATTTCCTTAAAAAGTAGCTAATTGCGTGACTTAGTTACTTTACTTGAAAAGTAATGCATTACAATATTGCGTTACTCCCTTAAAAAGTAGCTAATTGCGTGACTTAGTTACTTTACTTGAAAAGTAATGCATTACAATATTGCGTTACTCCCTTAAAAAGTAGCTAATTGCGTGACTTAGTTACTTTACTTGAAAAGTAATGCATTACAATATTGCGTTACTTCCTTAAAAAGTAGCTAATTGTGCGACTAGTTACTTTATTAGAAAAGTAATGCATTACAATATTGCGTTGCATGACTTAGTTACGTTATTCGAAAAGTAATGCATTACAATATTGCGTTACTCCCTTAAAAAGTAGCTAATTGCGTGACTTAGTTACTTTACTTGAAAAGTAATGCATTACAATATTGCGTTACTCCCTTAAAAAGTAGCTAATTGCGTGACTTAGTTACTTTACTTGAAAAGTAATGCATTACAATATTGCGTTACTCCCTTAAAAAGTAGCTAATTGCGTGACTTAGTTACTTTACTTGAAAAGTAATGCATTACAATATTGCGTTACTTCCTTAAAAAGTAGCTAATTGTGCGACTAGTTACTTTATTAGAAAAGTAATGCATTACAATATTGCGTTGCATGACTTAGTTACGTTATTCGAAAAGTAATGCATTACAATATTGCGTTACTCCCTTAAAAAGTAGCTAATTGCGTGACTTAGTTACTTTACTTGAAAAGTAATGCATTACAATATTGCGTTACTTCCTTAAAAAGTAGCTAATTGTGCGACTAGTTACTTTATTCGAAAAGTAATGCATTACAATATTGCGTTACTCCCTTAAAAAGTAGCTAATTGCGTGACTTAGTTACTTTACTTGAAAAGTAATGCATTACAATATTGCGTTACTCCCTTAAAAGTAGCTAATTGCGTGACTTAGTTACTTTACTTGAAAAGTAATGCATTACAATATTGCGTTACTCCCTTAAAAAGTAACTAATTGTGCGACTTAGTTATTTTATTAGAAAAGTAATGCATTACAATATTGCCTTACTTCCTTAAAAAGTAGCTAATTGCGTGACATAGTTACTTTACTTGAAAAGTAATGCATTACAATATTGCGTTGCATGATTTAGTTATGTTATATGAAAAGTAATGCATTACAATATTGCATTACTCCTTAAAAAGTAGCTAATTGCGTGACTTAGTTACTTTACTAGAAAAGTAATGCATTACAATATTGCGTTACTTCCTTAAAAAGTAGCTAATTGTGCGACTAGTTACTTTATTAGAAAAGTAATGCATTACAATATTGCGTTGCATGACTTAGTTACGTTATTCGAAAAGTAATGCATTACAATATTGCGTTACTCCCTTAAAAAGTAGCTAATTGCGTGACTTAGTTACTTTATTCGAAAAGTAATGCATTACAATATTGCGTTACTCCCTTAAAAAGTAGCTAATTGCGTGACTTAGTTACTTTACTTGAAAAGTAATGCATTACAATATTGCGTTACTTCCTTAAAAAGTAGCTAATTGTGCGACTAGTTACTTTATTAGAAAAGTAATGCATTACAATATTGCGTTGCATGACTTAGTTACGTTATTCGAAAAGTAATGCATTACAATATTGCGTTACTCCCTTAAAAAGTAGCTAATTGCGTGACTTAGTTACTTTACTTGAAAAGTAATGCATTACAATATTGCGTTACTCCCTTAAAAAGTAGCTAATTGCGTGACTTAGTTACTTTACTTGAAAAGTAATGCATTACAATATTGCGTTACTCCCTTAAAAAGTAACTAATTGTGCGACTTAGTTATTTTATTAGAAAAGTAATGCATTACAATATTGCCTTACTTCCTTAAAAAGTAGCTAATTGCGTGACATAGTTACTTTACTTGAAAAGTAATGCATTACAATATTGCGTTGCATGATTTAGTTATGTTATATGAAAAGTAATGCATTACAATATTGCATTACTCCCTTAAAAAGTAACTAATTGCGTGACTTAGTTACTTTACTTGAAAAGTAATGCATTACAATATTGCGTTACTTCCTTAAAAAGTAGCTAATTGTGCGACTAGTTACTTTATTCGAAAAGTAATGCATTACAATATTGCGTTACTCCCTTAAAAAGTAGCTAATTGCGTGACTTAGTTACTTTACTTGAAAAGTAATGCATTACAATATTGCGTTACTCCCTTAAAAAGTAGCTAATTGCGTGACTTAGTTACTTTACTTGAAAAGTAATGCATTACAATATTGCGTTACTCCCTTAAAAAGTAACTAATTGTGCGACTTAGTTATTTTATTAGAAAAGTAATGCATTACAATATTGCCTTACTTCCTTAAAAAGTAGCTAATTGCGTGACATAGTTACTTTACTTGAAAAGTAATGCATTACAATATTGCGTTGCATGATTTAGTTATGTTATATGAAAAGTAATGCATTACAATATTGCATTACTCCCTTAAAAAGTAGCTAATTGCGTGACTTAGTTACTTTACTAGAAAAGTAATGCATTACAATATTGCGTTACTTCCTTAAAAAGTAGCTAATTGTGCGACTAGTTACTTTATTAGAAAAGTAATGCATTACAATATTGCGTTGCATGACTTAGTTACGTTATTCGAAAAGTAATGCATTACAATATTGCGTTACTCCCTTAAAAAGTAGCTAATTGCGTGACTTAGTTACTTTATTCGAAAAGTAATGCATTACAATATTGCGTTACTCCCTTAAAAAGTAGCTAATTGCGTGACTTAGTTACTTTACTTGAAAAGTAATGCATTACAATATTGCGTTACTTCCTTAAAAAGTAGCTAATTGTGCGACTAGTTACTTTATTAGAAAAGTAATGCATTACAATATTGCGTTGCATGACTTAGTTACGTTATTCGAAAAGTAATGCATTACAATATTGCGTTACTCCCTTAAAAAGTAGCTAATTGCGTGACTTAGTTACTTTACTTGAAAAGTAATGCATTACAATATTGCGTTACTCCCTTAAAAAGTAGCTAATTGCGTGACTTAGTTACTTTACTTGAAAAGTAATGCATTACAATATTGCGTTACTCCCTTAAAAAGTAACTAATTGTGCGACTTAGTTATTTTATTAGAAAAGTAATGCATTACAATATTGCCTTACTTCCTTAAAAAGTAGCTAATTGCGTGACATAGTTACTTTACTTGAAAAGTAATGCATTACAATATTGCGTTGCATGATTTAGTTATGTTATATGAAAAGTAATGCATTACAATATTGCATTACTCCCTTAAAAAGTAACTAATTGCGTGACTTAGTTACTTTATTCGAAAAGTAATGCATTACAATATTGCGTTACTTCCTTAAAAAGTAGCTAATTGCGTGACTTAGTTACTTTACTAGAAAAGTAATGCATTACAATATTGCGTTACTTCCTTAAAAAGTAGCTAATTGCGTGACTTAGTTACGTTATTCGAAAAGTAATGCATTACAATATTGCGGTACTTCCTTAAAAAGTAACTAATTGCGTGACTTAGTTACTTTATTAGAAAGTAATGCCTTACATTACATTATGACACAAGGCACATAAAATGATGCCTAGACGGATAGTATACAACTGGCTGAGGGCGAAAATATACTAATATGGGAAATATGCTAATACAGGACATATGCAAATACGGGACAGGAGTCGTGGGCGGAGCATGAGCAATATGACATCAAATTGCTCTGAAAATCCAAACGGCTTTGATTTTTGAGAGGGTTTAGACTTTTTGAGGATTAATAAAAAGGAGTGAATGTATTTTTCCCATTGTGTGGTGGTTGTGTCCACACACACACATTTATATGCACACACCCTATAAGAGTGAATTTTGCATCGATGACCCCTTTAAGCGTTTTCTCTTAATGGTTTTCTATGGGATGGAAATGCTTAACGTGTAATTAATCGCATCGCGTTCGTATTCTGGGTTCTTTTTTTTCTGTACTTGGTATACTTTATTAGTATGATGTTTACTGAGTTTCCTCTTATTACAGTAAGCCGTGTAGTCTACACACGTGAAGTGTTTTAGGAAGTCCCATGTCTGTGATTGTCCTGTAGCTGGAGGATCTGCTGGAGCTGGAGCGCAGACAGCGGACGGATCCGGAGAGGAGCAGGAGGAGGCTGGAGGGAGACGGCAGGAACGGCATGGACAACCTCAGCGAGATCGGCAAGATGAGGGCCAGTCTGGAGGAGATGATCAGGAGGTGTGTGTCGAACACTTCATATTTCACAGATGAATCAATTATGCGGATGCACCGACTCTTTGAATTACATTTTTGGCCGATACCGATAACCGATAATTCTTTATACCTGAAAGCCGATAACCGATATATCGGCCGATAAATCTACATCCAAATCTTTATATAATTTTTGAGAGCCTGATTACAAAAACAAAAGTCTCATCATGTCCAAACACACAATTATAATGATGTTCTCATGATAATGTTATGAAGCCGATATGACAGACTTGCGCTGCACTTTAACTCTATTTTCCTTCTTGAAGTGATTTCAATCATATTTCAAGCAATTCAAACCATCATGTTGAACCGTGCGCATCTGAAGACTCTCAGCTTTAATATATCAGACAAATTTTCTCATCAGGGCGATAACACTAACATTAAAAATATAAACATTAAAATTGTATAAAAATATAAACATTAAAAATTGATAAAAAAAATAAATAACATGTATCAGCTGATATCGATATGTTGGCTGATATATCATCAATTATCTTTCAGCTAGTTTGAAGACTTTGGGGAATCCCTGAACTTGTCAGTGGAGAATAAAGGTCCTTATATTAGCGCACTGAGGCGAATGATCTGGTCCTGAGGTGTTCGATGACGAGTTTGTCGATGTCTCAGATGTTTGGATGCTGTTGTCTTGAACATGATCTGAACGTGCGGAGATCTCCCTGCGGCTCCTGAAGCTGTTCAGGCTTGTTGGTTTGCAGAACGGGACTGAAGAAACCAGATCCGGCTGTTTCATGCGGGCCCGAGGAGAAGAAAAGAGGAAACTGTGATAAATATCCCTTCTGTCCTTCCTTCTGATTTTAATATTGTAAGTGACGAAGGGTTACGAGCGTATGATCATAACTTCTCCATAGTGGCTGCAGGAGAAGAAGCCGATCAGCTTCTCAGAGGCATCGCCTGTTTGGTTATGGTTGATTTGATGAAATATGATATTGGAAATCAATCTTGGCCAACACTTAAAACTTCAGAGTAGAAACTGGAAACCTCTTCACACCTATAAAAAAGTAATAGTGATTATTTCTCACAGTTTCCATTTCATATCTCACTTTGTCACTTTGTGATGTAATGTCTGACTTCATGACTTCATATCTCACAATTACGGCCTCACTTGCCACAGTTTAGCTTTCTATCTGACTGTATGACTTTATTTCTTTTCTTTTTTTAAATCTCAATAGCCAGACAGCAAACTGACATTGAATCAACGTGGAAACGACGTCTCTCATGACATCGAAACAACGTTTTGTTTTTTTTTCTCATCGAATTAACGTTGAACCAACGTCAGACGCGGCATTCTTCAAAGCTAAATGAAAACCGGAAATTGGTTGAACGTTGAAACAACATTGATTTCAAGTTGATTTTCCGTTAGTTTTGAAAGAATGACGCGTCTGATGTTGGTTCAACGTTAATTCGATGAGCAAAACAATGTCAGATCAACGTTGTTTCGATGTCATGTTTCTACGTTGATTCAATGTCAGTTTGCTATCTGGGTAGCCTGGTTTCCGTTACAGATTTGTGCAAAACTGTTTCAATATTTTCTAAATGTCAATTAAAGACTATTGCAAAATGACATTAACCGATGTTATGCGACTAAAACTAAAATTTTTTTGCAAATAGAAAAATCTATAAAAACTAGGGCTGGGTGATAAATATCGATTTCTCGAAATTAATCGATTCTCATTTTTACGAACCGATATCGATTCTTAAATCTCATGAATCGATTAGTCATCCTGTTTCATTTGAATGAATGGATCATTGTATCGCGGCTGCGCGCATCCAAAAAATCGCAATAATCTTCGTCCTTTGTTACTATTGATATGAAACAAAGTCTCAGTTTTCAAATTACGTCCATTTTCTTTAGAAATTCAGAAACATAAATAGCGTTTTGTCGCTGTGGCGTGGGATCGCTCTGGAGAAGCAGCAGCGCTGATCTCTCTTCCGGCTTAATAATACCAGTCACAGCGCCAAATAAACATGAATGAGCATCTGAAAGTGTGTTAAAGATAGAGTACAACTTATCCAAATCCGGATCATGTCACATTGATTCGCTCAATCAGCGTTTCAACCGTGGAAAGACGTCAGCTTGTAATCAATGTATCGTCATATTTACCTCAGAAAACCCATAAACTCGTTAGTCAGCTAGAAAAAATAACTCTAGAGAGGAGCATTTTGCTAAATATATACACCATATTACATATGCATTATAATCTTAATGTTCTTTAATATTTAATGTATATTTGAATAAATCTGGCTAGTTTTTATGACATCCACCATTTAAATGTTTATATTTCATATAATCTTCTTATTATAAAAATAAATAAAAGTGTAATTTAAGTGTTTGTATAGCTACAAAACAGTTGATTATTACCTTCATATTAGGCTAATGAAGTCTATAGGCTACAACTAGACTCATAGTTTACAGCATTAGTTCAGAGATTTGATTCCCTTGAGAAAATTTGCCATTTATTGTAACTGATATCCAAAATAATCAATATTGAATCGGAATCGAAATCGAATTGCAAGCTTGAGAATCGAAATCGAATCGAATTGTGAAATTTGTGTCAATACCCAGCCCTAATAAAAACATTTCCATTGCAGTTTTGCAAAATATTCTTTTTTTGACTTGCCTGGAAAACGTCCTCGTGCGAGCGGGAAAACCTTTTTGCTTTAAATGGCAGTTTTTTGCGAAATGTACGTGTTTCCATTGGCTGTAGTCTATAATTCGTGGATTATGAAGAGTAATGGAAACACTCCTTGGGATGCAAAATGTTTTGTGGGGGATTCAAAGTTTCTTTGTTGAAAGCAAACATTTTGTAAGCGAAGGCACATTTTCACAGGGAAACGCAAAGGTTTTGTTAGCTAATGCAAAGTTTCTTGAGGAATTTAAAAGTTTTGTGGGGGTTTTGCGATACTTTCACTGTAGAATGCAAAAGTTTTGCAAGAATTTCTCTGGGCATGCAAAAGTTCGCAAAACATTTCGTAAGTGAATGCAAATTTTCGCAGCGTGTGAAATACTTTGGTAACACTTTACAATACGGGTGCACTAATGTGCATTAATTCATCCTTAACTAATGCAGATAATCATGAGTTAATGTATAACTAATGAAGAACTAAACCATTAATTAATGATTACTGCATCAGCAACTAATAAAGAGCCAATATGATTCATATATTAAGTAATACATGAATTGCTATTAATTCAATGTGTCATTGTGTATTAATTCCTTAATAACATATTTTCTTAACTAATAGTGTAAATTAATGTGTTAATTACCACAATTAGTCAAAGCTATGCACTTCAACTTCCAGTTGTCTGCTTTAATTAATCATTAGCTATTGATTTGCAAAGGTATCATTATGTTATGACTTTACTTGATGGGGCACATCATTATTAACTAGTCATTTAGTAATTGTAGTAATTTGCACATGAATTTGCACTAACAATGAAGTAATTAATCATGTATTAATGCATATTAGTATACCTGTCATATTACCTGAAAGTTGAAATACAGGGCTTTGGCTTATTCTGGTAATTAACATATTAATTAACGCTATTAGTTAAAAAAATTAGTTATTATGGAATTAATCCACAATTACATATTTAATAAATAACAATTCATGTATGAACTAATATATTAACCTTACAGACTCTTAATTAGTTCCTAATGTGGTAATCATTAATGAATAGCTTAAATAATCATTAGTTACACATTAATTCAGTATTATCTGTGCATTAGTTAAGCATGAATTAATGCTTATTAGTGCACACGTATTGTAAAGTGTTACCAATACTTTTACTAAAGGATGTAACATTTTTAGAAAAGAACATAAAAGCATTGAAATATAATTGTGTCCTCCCATCTCCCGTAGCAACGGGCTTATGTTGCTGTGAGCGGTTGTTGCGTGCGCGGTGTTAATATCTGTGCAGGGCGTTCCCACACCGACTCGAGGGGCTTTTGTTGACAATTTTACACATCCATCAGACGTCGTGCTGCGATGGACTGGCACTTTTAATAACCCGAGACATGTCTGAGGTTTACTGGATACGGCTAGCAAACAACGCCTGCTGAATTAGCGCTGTCACTCGCATCCTCACGCTCTGTCCCGTGTGTGTGTGTGTGTGTGTGTCAGGAGAGATGTGGAGATCCGCAGCGTCAGCGGCCGTCTGGAGGAGCAGGAGGAGCTGAACGCCGGCCTGCAGACCAGGAATCAGGAGATCCAGGTGAGCATTCCTGTCTCTCAGCGCTGGCACACACACACACACACACACACACACTGATAACATCTCTCAGGAGGGGGGGGGAACGCTGTACCTCACACTCCTTCTTTAACCAGAGCGTACTCTTCAGAAATCACACACACACACAGAAATGAATGTACTATATTTTAGTTTGGTAATGTGTTTCATTTTATGGTACTAAATTATATTCACGCTGTATTTATAATCCATTTATTCACTTTTTGAGTGTAAAATTTCCAACTTAAACGGGTAAATCTTGAACGCTTTGGAGCGACAGACTGAAGTTTGATCTCTTCTCACAGACGACACGCGTCGGATTATCGCTGGAGTGAGAAAAGTGAACTACATTTATGTGCATAAATACTATTTTACATTTTTATATGAAATATATATTTTCAATAACATGTTTTACTCAAAAATTGTGAGAAAATCAAAGCCATGAACCTAAACGAGTGTGTGTTTGCTCATGTGAGCTGATCTCTCAGTAAACCAGTGTTCAGTGTGTGTGTGTGTGTGTGTGTGTGTGTGTGTTCGGCTGCAGTTCCACACGCTTCCACTACACTCTCAGAAAAAAAGGTACAAAAGCTGTCACTGGGGCTGTACCTTTTCAAAAGGTACACTTTTGTACCCAAAGGCTGCATATTGGTACCTTAGTGGTACATATTAGCACCTAAAATGTATATATTAGCACCTTAAAGCTATGGTATACGATGTTAAAAATCGGTCGAGACGGTAGGGAAATTTTAAAAAACTCATCCCGCCCCTCCACACACACCCCCCTCCCCTCTGTGCTACCTGATCCCTGACGTATGTCACATTTGAGTTCACGTCAACGCAAGATTAGCAACACATGAAATGTTCTAAACTCCCCACCACCATTATAATACTACTAGTATTGCTAAGGTTTTCAGTAATTGTTATTGCAGCACGCAGCGCATCTTGTTCAAATTCCGATTGGCTCGAACAAGAAATATAATTACTTTGACCCGTGATCGGCGATGCTAAACGGCTAACATTCAATGCCGACCGGCAGCATGAGCAAGTTGTCAAACTGATAAAAAGCCACGTAACACGTCACACCATAAAAGAATAAATAAATGTTTACCTGCTCAACAAAAAGTCATCCGTGTCAGCGTCGATTTCAGTCCCAGATCTCCCTGACGCTTTCTCCAACGGTCAATGAAGGTCGCTATATTTATCCTACTTAGAGTCCGGCGTTCTTCACATTTATATTTAATCTCTGATCTTTCCTCCACAGACTTTCTCTTTCGTCCAAACTGTACAGTAGGGGCAAGCAGGGGCCGCTTGCTGTTGTCGTTTATATTTTTATCCATTGCTTTATCCATTGCTGATCTGACGCTACTAGCTAGTCTGTCAGCTGTTTGCTCGCCATCGGAGGGGGGCGGGTGCGGTTGGGTTGGAGACGTGAGCACCAGGCGGAGTTTCAAGTGGAGCTGGTGATTGGATGAGAGCAGTTGACCAATATAAACTGTGCGGCCGCACAGCTTACATTGGTCAACTTTTCTGCGGCTATACAGCCAATAGAGTGAATGGATTTTTTAAATTCTTTTTTCTATTCATATTGTTAGGATTGTACTATATAACCATATCCAGCATCTAAACAAGGATATTAATAATGAACAATCTTTGAAATCGTATACCCTAGCTTTAATGTACATATTAGCACCTATTATGGACATATTAGCTCCTGAAATGTACATATTAGCTCCTGAAATGGACAAAAGTTTACCTTTTGAAAAGGTACAGCCCCAGTGACAGCTTTTGTACCTTTTTTTCTGAGAGTGTATCCACAAGTTTCCTACGCCCCATGAGGCCTTGCGTCAAAAGTGGGCGCGACTTCCGGTAGGAAGTAAACAAAGCGCGATTTGACATGCTTGACACTCGTTCATTCTACAGTTGACAGTCATTCAAATTATAGCGATCCAAACTAGCTAACGATGTGGGAACACAACCTCAACGAAATTAAAAAAGGTGAAATAACAGTACCTTTACCCTCCGCAGTAGCTGATTGGGAGTATTATAATAACATTATTAATAATCAATACTCATCAAGACATGGTGACAGACAGTTGTGCGAGCTGACAAATAATTAAAATAAAAAATACACACTTAGTCATTGTGCTTTGGAGTTTATTCAAAATTATAAATGAATGTGCTACTTGAATACATTAACTGGCACATTTGGTATTCTGTCAACACAGGCTTTGATCCTGAGTTTAGGTGTAACATCAGTAGCGAACAGCCAATCACATGCTGATAAAAGTTTATAGAATATTAAGAATTTAAACAAATGTACACAGGAAGATTCGTCGTCTTTTGGGAGGTGATGGAAACTACAGTCGTTGACAGGATCACTCTGATTTCGTTTTCAGCTTATGTTCAAAACAATCCCGTTTAAGCCACTGAACTAGTTTAGTCCGGTTATACATACAACCGCGAGCAGCACATGTTGTCCCTGAGCTCCGTAACTACATCTCTCACAAAGATTTGCGTCTTTAAATAGTAAAATAATTCTCCGAAAAACAGCTAGCCTCTTCGCTAACTAACACACAAAATACCATTGGAATGCTACTTCCGCCGCCTCACCGGAAGTTTCACCCACTTTATTTTTTACAGGAGCGCCCCTCGGAAACTTGTGGATTGGAAACTCTCATTAATTTCCAATGCGTCGTTTCTGACCGCGAGAAACACAAGTGTGTGACTGTTGATTCAGGATCATTTACCCTGTTCAGATCATGGCCATGATTTGTGCCAAAGTGCCAAAACCCTTACCAAGTTTCATATCAATCCGATTAAGAAAAAGCAAATGAAATGTAAGATGTTTCCGAAGCCGGTGTGGCGTCAGGCTCAGATAAGGACAGCAGGATGATGGATGGACCAGAGAGAGAGAGTCGTGTTAAAGCTGTTGAAAAGCAGTGCTGGTTTAACCTCTGTCACTCGTCTTCATGTTCTTCTGGGAACGCAAAAGGTTTGCAAATAAACGCAAGAACGCACAAGTCTTGAGCGAAAGCAACATTCGTTGGAGATAAAGTTGAACGTAAAGTTTCTCTAGGAACGAAAATCCAAGTTTGCTGCAATGTGAGCAAATGTACAGTTTGTCAAAGCTGTTGTAAAGCAGTGTTAGTCTATCTCATGTGACATCATCTCCAGATTAAAATATTAATGCACTGATAACACTTTACAATAATGAGCATTAGTGAACAATGCTTCATCAGCATTTATCTCAACATTAACTAATACGTTATTAAAATCAAAGGTTGTATTAGTTAACATTAGTTACTGCACTGTGAACTAACATGAACAGCTGGATTATTATTAACTAACATTAATAAATACAGTAAGAAATGTATGATTGTAACAATGCAGATTAATTTCTTATATAATGGAGTGCATTTATTCATAGTCATTGCATGTAAACGTCATATTCTCGTCGTTGTGTTGTTGATCTGAGGCTTGAGATGGACGAGACAGGAGACTCGTAATCCTGGAGAACACAGGCGCTCTTTGTGTCCGCTAGTGAAGCTGAAAGAGGATCTGTGTGTCGTGAGGCGGACGTGTGTTCACTTCCACCCCGTCACACAACACAGGTGGAGGCCAGAGCCATGGAGAGGGAAGTGCTGCTCAAACAGAAGATATTCATAATATTAGTCATAATAATCGATGTTCCCCTCTTACGTTAAACGTACAGTCTAAGTTTTCGCCACACAATAAACAATAACATGCTATAAAAGAGAGGAACAATGGTTATCACCATCCACAGATTTATGGAATTCATGAATCATATTTACATTTACATGTATTCATTTGGCTGACGCTTTTATCCAAAGTGACTTACACTTGCTCTATATGTCAGAGGTCGCACGCCTCTGGGTCAACTAGGGGTTAAGTGTCTTGCTCAGGGACACATTGGTGTCTCACAGTGGATTCGAACCCGGGTCTCTCACACCAAAGGCATGTGTCTTATCCACTGCGCCACCACCACCCCATGATATGTTTATCATAATCATATATATATGAAGAGATGATTTTTATCAAGCTTGTATATTTAAGTTCAGTAATTTCACTTAAATGGCAATGATAATTACCTATTAATTGTTATTAAAGTGAAATTACTGAACTTAAATATACAAGTTTGATAAAAATCATCATTAAAGAAGAAAATTTCAAATGGCATTTAGAGGCTTTTGCATCTGAACTCTTCATATAATATATATATATATATAGATAGTGTGATACAAATATAGATATATATAGATACAAAACCACTGTGCTAGTGGTTTTTGAATATTTTATTACAAAAAACTTACATATTGTACCTTTAATATTTCAAATAATGCAAAAATACATGTTCACATTTCACTGATGTTGGTTGATGGTTAATGTTTTTTTTTTAGTAAACTTTAAGTAAATTTATTTTGATTTGTTTAATTTGACAATTTTACGATTTAATGACAATTTTTATGATTTTTATGAACCCTGTTTGCAATATTCTGCCCCAAAGTCTTGGCTACAATAAAACATATTTTGAGGTTTACACATCTTTAGTGCTACATACAAAATATACATTTTATTAAACACACTTTGACCTTATGTGACAACGTGCCCCGATATTGGGCCAACCAGATGAGGTGAGTTTTCACAATGGAACCTTCTTAAACATTATAGGCTTTTAAGATACTTTTTACAACAATGAGTGTGTGAGAATGGGTGCGAGAGTGAGTGTGTGTGAGAGTGAGTGTGTGAGAGTGAGTGAGAGAGTGTGTGTGAGAGAGAGAGTGTGTGTGATTTGCTCAGTGAGTGTGAAGGGGGTGTGGATCTCCTCTCTCTCAGTCTGCTGAGGTGTGTGTGTGTGTGTGTGTGTGTGTGTCAGTCTGCTGAGGTGTGTGTGTGTGTTGCTCTGGCTGCTGTTTGTCGATGGCTGTTCTCTCCGCTGAAGTTCTTCGCTGGCATGTGAGTCTCTTCTTCTGTATTGATCCCACTTCGTAAATAAGCTTTTACTTCTGAAATGAATATTCTGAAGTATGAACATTTGAATCTGTGTGTGTGTGTGTGTGTGTGTGTGTGAGAGTGTGTGTTGGATCTGAGGTTGTCAGCACATCTGTCCTCCAGCGAAACCGCTCACAAAACTTCCTTCCCGTGACAGAAAGAAGATATAATCTTCCACCGCACATAAAGATGAGGAATGCATCACTCCCGGTGTGTGTGTGTGTGTGTGAACATTTCCTAATATCTCTGTACAGGATGGTGATTAAAACTCTTCAGGAGCTAGTGTAAGGATGATTGATGTATTAAAGCTTGCCTGTGTTTGTCTCAGTAACGGTAGCTGGAGTGTCTGCTGTGATGTCTCCTCAGTCCTCCGCCGCTGTGGTTCAGACCGTATGATTATGGCGATATGATTTATGATTTTTATGCTTATCTTACACTCGGGCACGTTTACTCTGGAAAGAAAGACAAACACATTTTCTTTCTCTCCATGCAGATGAATGCAGTATAACAAGGAAAACTGAAATTCGATTCAGTTATTTCAAATGTGCTGTAAAATTATTTCATTAACTGAATGATATTCTTGTTTTGATATTGATGATTTAGCAGTATAAATATTAATACATTTCTAATGTTGTTTAATGAAATGTAAGGATGCATGAAATTGATTGAAAGTGACAGTAAAGACATTTATAATGTTACAAAAGATTCTATTTCAGATAAATGCTGTTCTTTTGAACTTTCTATTCATCAAAGAATGACGGTTTCCACAAAAATATGAAGTGTTTTCAACACTGATAATAATCATAACTGTGTGTTGATCATCAGATCCTCATATTAGAGTGATTTCTGGAGGATCATGTGACACTGAAGGAGTAATGATGAATAATTCAGCTTTGATCACAGGAATAATTACACTTTACTGGATATTCACAGAGAAAACAGATGATTTATATTGTTTGTTTTTGATCGAATAAATGGTGAGCAAATACTACAAACATGCATGATATGATTAGTTGTAGTATGCTACACCAAGTGTGTGTGTATGAGTGTAGTTGATCTCAGTGAGTGTCCAGAGTAAAGGCCCTTGAACACGGAGTCGTATGAATTTCCGTATGCATTTTTTTCATATTGGTGATTCGGTGGCTCTGAATTGTCAAAACATCATTCAAACTCCATTAAAATTCTATTCCAACTCCATTCCAACTCCATTCCAACTCCATTCCAACTCCATTCAAACTTCATTCAAACTCTATTCAAACTCTATTCAAACTCTGTTCAAAGTCCATTCAAACTCAATTAAAACTCTATTCAAACTCTATTCAAACTCCATTAAAACTCTATTCAAACTCTATTCAAACTCCATTCAAACTCTATTCAAACTCTATTCAAACTCTGTTCAAAGTCCATTCAAACTCAATTAAAACTCTATTCAAACTCTATTCAAACTCCATTAAAACTCTATTCAAACTCTATTCAAACTCCATTCAAACTCTATTCAAACTCTATTCAAACTCTGTTCAAACTCCATTCAAACTCCATTCAAACTCAATTAAAACTATTCAAACTCCATTCAAACTTTATTCAAACTCTATTCAAACTCCATTCAAACTTTATTCAAACTCCATTCAAACTCTATTCAAACTCCATTCAAACTTTATTCAAACTCCATTAAAACTCTATTCAAACTCTTTTCAAACTCTATTCTAACTCCATTCAAACTCCATTCAAACTCCATTCAAACTCCATTCAAACTCTATTCAAACTCTATTCAAACTCCATTCAAACTCTATTCAAACTCCATTCAAACTCTATTCAAACTCTATTCAAACTCCATTCAAACTCCATTCAAACTCTATTCAAACTCCATTCAAACTCTATTCAAACTCTATTCAAACTCCATTCAAACTTTATTCAAACTCCATTAAAACTCTATTCAAACTCTATTCAAACTCCATTCAGACTCAATTCAAACTCTATTCAAACTCTATTCAAACTCTATTCAAACTCCATTCAAACTCCATTCAAACTCCAATCAAACTCCATTCAAACTCCATTCAAACTCCATTCAAACTGCTGCCTACGGATGTGAAAAACGCAGAAAATCGAACCCAATACGGTTTTATTTATGGCGGATAAAAGTTTCGGAGGCGGTGTGCAAGCGTGATTGACATAACGTGAGGTCGTATTTATTATTTAACGTGCGACAATTTGGGACTGAGTGTGTAAGAGCCTTAACACAGATCCATGTCTCGTCCCACAGGCCCGAATCGAGGAGCTGGAGGAGGAACTGGAGGCAGAGAGAGCTTTACGGGCCAAGGTACAACACACACTTCTCCTGAACACACACATCTCCTGAACACACACACACACACACACACACACACACATCTCCTGAGCACTGCTGTGAATCAACAGCAAGGTTTTGCATTTTTAATATATTGTATAATACTAGTCATAATAAGTGTTTTCCAGGACATGTTTCAGTAAATCACTCAGAAAACTTCATCAATTAGACCGGATCATTTTAGCATTAATGCGGTTCGATGCGGTTCGATCTGTGAATCGCTGTGGATCAGTTTAAAAGAATGATCCGTTAAAGAATCAACCATCACAATCATCTGTGTGAGTCGTTTGACTTTGATATGAACCATGCCGCTGACCTGTGTGACCCTGAGCAGATCTGATGGGCATCAGTTGTCATGTGGACTGGGTTGTGTTGTGTATACTCTAGCAACTACCCAGAACACTCTTGCAACTGCCTAGCAACCACCCAGAACACCATAGCAATTGCCTAGCAACACCCAAGAAACCAACCTAGCAACTACCCAGTACACTGCCTTGCATTGAAGCTCATGTGCCGTGACGCATCACTAGCTGCCACTCGCCCGCGTGATCAGACCGAAGCTGAGTGTGAGGTCACACACACTACATTTCACATCCACATTAGCTTGAGTTTCAGTGCGCTTGATCGTTCATGTGCTGTGATCTCGTAAATATGACATTTCCCCGTTTATTTCTGCGTAATCTCTGCTTGTGTAAATTATTAATCTCAGTGTGTGTGAGATGATGATGTCATGATCCAGCCGCGAGCTACAGACCCTGAAGACGTGTTCGTGCTGGGTGGCGTCTCTACCGAGAGTCAAGCCCTGACTCGTGTGTGTGTGTGTGTGTGTGTGTGTTTATCATGAGTCCCTGCAGAGGACACACACACACACACACACACACACACACGCTGCATTGTTCTCGCACTGATAGCATCAACACTGACTCCACAGAGCTTTCCACGGAGGAGTTCAAGCCCGGCTCACACACACACACACACACACACACACATGTACACACATGCACACATACACACACATGTACATACATACACATACGGACTTACACATCAAACGCACATACACATGCACACACCAACACACACAACTATATAATAATAATAATAATAATTTAACCGATTTGAATAATAGAAGTCTATAGTGTGTTGTGTGTGCTAGGCCGGAGAGATGTGTGTTTAGTCCAGATTTGAGTGTGTCTGCTTCCCGGACGATGTTAGGAAGATTGTTCCAGAGTTTTGGTGCTAAATAGGAAAAGGATCTCCCGCCTGCAGTCGAGTTTGATATTCTCGGTATTATCATCTTAGAGATCGCGATAGACGTGAAGGACTATAATGCGTTAAGAGCTCGCTCAAGTGCTGGAGATAAACCATTCAGTGCTTTATAAGTAATCAGCAATATTATAAAATGTATCCGATGTTTAATAGGCAGCCAATGACAGAACCGGGCTAATGTGGTCAATCTTCCTGGTTCTGGTAAGATCTGGAGCGGCTGCGTTTTGGACTCGCTGGAGTTTGTTTATTAAGCGTGCAGGACAACCACCCAGTAGATCATTACAGTCATCTAGCCTTGATGGCATGAACACATCAACTAACTGTTATATGGAATATATGGTGTAATTTACACATATTTTTAAGATGGAAAAATGCGGTTTACAGAAGCTATAAACATGGCTTTCAGATGAAAGATTGGGATTAAAGAGTGGGGCTGGGTATTGACACAAATTACACAATTCGATTCGATTTCGATTCCGATTCGATTCAATATTGATTATTTTGGATATCAGTTACAATAAATGGCAAATTTTCTCAAGGGAATCAAATCTCTGAACTAATGCTGTAAACTATGGGAGTCTAGTTGTAGCCTATAGACTTCATTAGCCTAATATGAAGGTAATAATCAACTGTTTTGTAGCTATACAAACACTTAAATTACACTTTTATTTATTTTTATAATAAGAAGATTATATGAAATATAAACATTTAAATGGTGGCCAGATTTATTCAAATATGCATTAAATATTGAAGAACATTAAGATTATAATGCATATGTAATATGGTGTATATATTTAGCAAAATGCTCCTCTCTAGAGTTATTTTTTCTAGCTGACTAACGAGTTTATGGGTTTTCTGAGGTAAATATGATGATACATTGATTACAAGCTGTTTAACTGACGTCTTTCCACGGTTGAAACGCTGATTGAGCGAATCAATGTGACATGATACGGATTTGGATAAGTTGTACTCTATCTTTAACACACTTTCAGATGCTCATTCATGTTTATTTGGCGCTGTGACTGGTATTATTAAGCCGGAAGAGAGATCAGCGCTGCTGCTTCTCCAGAGCGATCTCACGCCACAGCGACAAAACACTATTTATGTTTTTGAATTTCTAAAGAAAATGGACGTAATTTGAAAATTGAGACTTTGTTTCATATCAATAGTAACAAAGGACGAAGATTATTGCGATTTTTTGGATGTGCGCAGCCGCGATACAATGATCCATTCATTCAAATGAAACAGGATGACTAATCGATTCTTGAGATTAAACAATCGATATCGGTTCGTAAAAATGAGAATTAATTAATATCGAGAAATCGATATTTATCACCCAGCCCTATTAAAGAGCGTATCAATCAATCAGCAGGTATTGGTGATCAGAAGCCTGACTGACGGAGTCATCTCGAACATCACTTCATAAAGCAGAAGATTGGTGTAATAACAATCAGTACTAACTTTAGCAGACCGCTGTACTGGAATAGTGAATGAGAGCAGCCTTCATGCCATGCAGGGGTCAAAGGTCATGAGGAAATATTGATCATGTGTAATCTTGCGCTGATCATCTGTCAGGATCAGCTTCTGTAATTCCTCAGTTTCACGGATTGTGTGTCTTCTAGCGCATCATCCTCATCTTCTGTGTTTATAAGTGATGAAACACACTTTTGCGCTGCAGTTATGCTTTCATGTGTTGTTGTACACACAAATGTCTTTGTTGATTTTAATAAGCATCTGCTGGACAGACGTGTGTTTCTGTGTTCATGTGTGTTGTGATGATCCTGACGCCGGCTTCAGGCTCTTGGAGAGCGTTCAAACTCTAATGTTTTTAATCTTTACCTTCTGTAATATGATGTTATGTTTTAACACACGCTAGAAGTGTGTATGTGTGTGTGTGTGTGTTAATACATCAGACTAGACGATGTTATGCTTGTTTATAATCACTTCCCCACATCTGTCACCAGCTCAACACACACTCTACACACAGACACACACACACTCTCTCTCTCTTTCTCTCTCTCACACTCTACACACACACACAATCTCACTTTCACACACTCTCTCTCTCTCTCACACACACACACATACACACACTCTACACACATACATACTTGGGATGAGCTTCGGTCATGTGATCATGTGTGTTTATGTCATGTGATCGTGTGTGATGTGTGTTTGTGTCATGTAATTATGTGTGTGTGTGTGTGTGTGTGTGTTGAGGTGGAGAAGCAGCGCGCGGATCTGACTCGGGATCTGGAGGAGTTGTCAGACCGGCTGGAGGAAGCAGGAGGAGCCACGGCCTCTCAGGTCTCAGATCAGCCTTATCTGATTCTTACAGGGATTCTCACTGCCTACATACATTGATTATTTAAAAAATAGTAAAGTAAAATCAAATTGCACACTTCAAATACACACTACTGTGAGATATGTGAGATTTTCCCATGTTGATTGCACTGGATTCTTTCCGCACGCGTAAGAAATCTATTTGATGTCTCCAAAAGACCTGATTTTTCCCTGAAATGTGTGTGTGTGTGTGTGTGTGTGTGTGTGTGTGCAGATGGAGATGAATAAGAAGCGAGAGCAGGAGCTGCAGAGGTTGCGGCGAGAGCTGGATGAGTCTGCGCTGCAGGCGGAGTCGATGTCCGCCGCTCTGAGGAAGAGACACTCTGAAGCACTGGCTGAACTGGGAGACCAGTGTGAGAGTCTGCAGAGAACCAGAGCCAAACTGGAGAAGGAGAAGCAGAGTCTGCGGCTGGAGGTCGACGACCTGACGGCTTCCCTCGACACACTGCAGAAAGCCAAGGTCAGAGTTCCTCAACGTCACGTTTACAGGAACTTACACAGAAGTGTGCGATGTTGATGACCAGCTCACCACCTTAGACTCGTTTGAGTGTTTCAGCAAGAACTATTTTAAATGCTTTTTGCTTATTCTGCTCTGTGTAGATCGTCTCAGGCCTTTCATCAGGTCTGTGTGACATGAGCAAGTTAAAGGGATAGTTCACTTTAAAATGAAAACTAGCCCATGAATTACTCTCCCTCGAGGCATCCTAGGTGTATATTATATCAAAAACTGTCCTGGCTCTTCCAGGCTTTATAATGGCAGTGAATGGCCATAAGTCCATAAAAGTGCATCTGTCCATCATAAAAGTGCATCTATCCATCATAAAAGTGCATCTGTCCATCATAAAAGTGCATCTGTCCATCATAAAAGTGCATCTCTCCATCATAAAAGTGCATCTGTCCATCATAAAAGTGCATCTATCCATTATAAAAGTGCATCTGTCCATCATAAAAGTGCATCTGTCCATAATAAAAGTGGATCTATCCATCATAAAAGTGCATCTGTCCATCATAAAAGTGCATCTATCCATCATAAAAGTGCATCTGTCCATCATAAAAGTGCATCTATCCGTGATAAAAGTGCATCTATCATCATAAAAGTGCATCTATCATCATAAAAGTGCATCCATCCATCATAAAAGTGCATCTGTCCATCATAAAAGTGCATCTTTCCATCATAAAAGTGCATCTGTCCATCATAAAAGTGCATCTGTCCATCATAAAAGTGCATCTATCCATCATAAAAGTGCATCTATCATCATAAAAGTGCATCTGTCCATCATAAAAGTGCATCTATCCGTGATAAAAGTGCATCTATCATCATAAAAGTTTGTACGCACACACTCACTACTCACACACTACACTATTTCTGACGTCACAAGTTGCGTAAGTTGTGCTTTAGGCGTACATAGACTATATATTTTTGTTTGGCCGGAAGCTAGAATTTTACTTTGTAACGTGTTAAATATGGATATTTTTCTTACACAAACTCATTGGCTTCTCTTCAGTTGGCTGTTATTAACCCCTGGAGCCTGTGGAGCACTTTATGACGGATAGATGCACTTTAATTCACTGCCATTCTAAAGCTTGAAAGAGCCAGGACATTTTTTAATATAACTCTGATCGTATTCGTCTGAAGAAGAATGTCATATACACCTAGGATGACTTGAGGGAGAGTAAATCATGGGGTAAGTTTCATTTTAAAGTGAACTACTCCTTAAAGCACTGATAAATCACAGCTGATATGATCACGTGTCCCACCAGGCCTCGACTGACACACAGCTTAGGAAACTAGAGGAGCTTCTGTGTGAATCCAACACCAGGAGTGAAGACCTGCAGAAAACCTTCAGTGAAGTCACTGCTGCCAAGAACAGACTCTCAGGTGATCTCTCACTGAATTACCTGAATTACACTGCCGTTCTTTAGTGTGGGGGCAGTACGCACCTCTCTATTCATCAAAGAATCCTGAAAATGAAAATATATTCTACTTTATCCTACTACAGTCAAATATAACAGGAATGTGTGTGTAAAAGCATTTCTTATTTATGAAACTAGTCAATTTCTGTGCAACTAAAGATGTTCTTCTAGTAAACCTCAGCTTTTGTTTCAGTTCTGACCACAAACACAGTGTCCAGACAGGAATATTTTAGATTCATTGATCTCGTATGCGTCTTTTTGTGACATACTCAACATTATCTTGGTGGCAAATCAGCACAATTTACAACAACATCATCAAGCGGACTAACCGATGAAAAATTACTTGTTTTGGGATTGGAAATATCGAATATGGATGTGAAGAAACGTCTCTGGTTACGACTGTAACCCTAGTTCCCTGAGAAGGTGAATTGCATGATAACGTCTGAAGCACTTGTATCTAGTAGTCCAATGGCGAGAGTAAATGTCTCGGGTGATGTCACAACCAGGAAAGGATAACAGCCCACCCGGTCTGACCTTAGCTTCGATTTAGCCGAAACAGGCCGATCACAGGGATGTAGGACGTATCGCAGCATCTCATTCCCTTTTAAGAGAACTAGGGTTACAGTCATAACCTGAGATGTTCCCTTTCGAGTCCTGACAAAAGTGATTGGCAAGGACCAGCCTGCTGCATCGCAAACTTCTTGAAGGGATACCCCTGACATTAGGGCCTTGGAGGCCGCCATACTCCTTGTTGAATGGGCTCTAATGGCCAGAGGTGAAGGCTGGCCGAAACCTCATAAGCAAGAGAGGTCGCCTCAACAATCCACTTGCTAACAGTCTGCTTGGATGCATGAGGCCTTTCTTAGGAGACCCAAAGCACACTAAAAGTTTATCAGACTTTCGCCGCTTTGTGGACATAGTTGTCTAGTGTTCTGACTAGACAGATGAGGTTAAATTTTTCATGGTCTTGTTCCTTGAAAGGAGGAGGACAGAATGCCTGCAGAATGATAGGCCACGGTACGTTAGTTGGAACTTTCAGTACATATCCTGGCTTAGGATGGAGGAAAGTCCATGGTGATACCGTTAAGGCCCGAAGATCTCCTACTCTCTTTAGTGAGGTAATAGCTACAAGGAACACAGTTTTGAGGGTCATAAACATTTCTGAGATTAAATAGGCTCGAAGGGAGCGCCAGATGAGCCTTCTAGAACCAGTGCCAGATCCCAAGTTGGAACTCTGGTACAAACTGTAGGCCTCAGGCTGTCTCACCCTACAGATAAACCACCCAAGGGACATGGTAAGCTGCTATGGCGGCAACATATACCTTCAGTGTGGAAGGAGATAACCCTGATGAGAAATGATCTTGAAGGAACTCTAGTATTGAACCCACAGGGAAATTAACTGGATCCCATTGTTGTAGATTACTCCAAGAAGTAAAAACTCTCCACTTCAGGGCGTATAGCTTCCTCTTGGTAGATCAGTATGGTCTCTACAACCTCGGTTGAGAGACCAGAGTCTATGAGTCGAGCCCCATCAGAGGCCAGACCCACAGGTTGAACGTTTCTGGTCGGGGATGGAGAATTGCTCCCCTCCCTGCCTGAGTTAAAAGGTCTCTACTGGCCGGCAGCTTCAGGGAGTCGTTGAGAAGGGATATTAGGTCAGAGAACCATGGAGCTACAAGCAGTAAACTCATTTTATCTTGGCTAACTTTCTTCAGACCTCTTGGGAACATTGCAATCGGGGGAAATGCGTACAGATGCAGCCACAGCCACTTCTGTACCAGTGCATCCAGTCCCAATCGGGCTGGGTGTGTGTGAGAGAGAGAGAACCACAGTGGACAGTGTGTCATGTCCTGAAATGCAAACAGATCCACCTCTGCTTGGCCATAAACCTCACAAATGTGCTCCACCATTCCCCGGGCCTCAGCCCCTGTCTTGACAGTATATCTGCTCCTACATTTTGATGTCCCCAAATATAAACTGGTCTCAGGGAGAGCATCTTCCCTAGGGACCACAATAGAATCTGGTGCTCCAGTTTGCACAGTGGGCATGAATGCAGACCCCCTTGACCTCTCAAGGCTGGTCTCGGGGGTAATAAGAGCAGCCAGTTCGGTGACCTGAAGCATACTGGCAGGAAACAACCGATTTGACTCACTTTCGACCCTCCTTGGAGGGTGCGAGTCTGATCCAGTGTTGTGGTGACGCTAGATAAGGAGCTGGCTGGAAACTGCTGCGCCTGAGGCACTGTGGGTGGCAGGGTTGGCAGAACGGCCTCCTGAGGGCACTGAGGTCTGAGCGAGCACTGTATAATGATGTGAACACCGCTCCACCCTGGTTGGGGCTTCCCTCAGAGGTCGGACACCTGTGGCGCCAGGACCTCTTCTTTGCTGAAGCTGTCTTCATGAGCATAATGGTCCTCAGATCGGTCTGCTGATTAGAAGACTTTGGCGGAGGGTTTGTGGTGTCTCGAAGAGGCTAAGGGGCGCTAGCAGGGCATCCAGCAGGAAATATTTTTCTTTGATCTCAGATAAATTTAACCAAAAGTGTCTCTCCGAAGCCACATTAGATATCATAGACCACCAAATAGCACGAGCAGTCTCTTTTGTTTCCCGAAGAGACAAATCGGTGGCCTGACGCAGTTCTCGAATTAGTCTCCAGGTCCCTCAGCAGGTCAGCCTGATATGCCTGTAATATAGCCATAGTATGAAGGCATGCCCGGTCTGACCTGCTGCTGTATATGCTTTTCCCACTAGTGTTGATTTATGTTTTCAATGGCCTAGTTGGCAGAATTGGGGACTTCAGGGACCATGCTGATGCTGTTGACAGATAGCTCGCGAGGGTCTGACATCGCCACTTAATCTAAATATACATGCTCTTGGGGGCTAAATACACTTCCTGTAAGTCAAGAAGTATTAAAAAACATCTAAATGGATATTATGATATCTTTAACAAACTTTCCTTTTGGTATCTTCATTTTAAGATTCTGAGAGGAACTATTTTATTTTTCCTACCTAGTGCAAAATAGATTTTTTAAAAGGAAATTCCAATTAAAACACAGACCTGTGACCAAAATACCCATAAGGATGTACGAGGGTTAATCCGTGTGCTGCTCCGATTAAGCGTTTGTTCAAGTGGTTTAAAAGTGTTCAATCTTGCCTTTGCAGTTGAAAACAATGAGCTTGCCAGGCAAATAGAGGATCTGGAGAACAAGGGCATCCACATGAGCCGCTCCAGAACCCTGTTGATGTCCCAACATGAGGAGCTCAAGAAACAGCTCGAGGAAGAGCTCAAGGTGAGTGTGATGCCAGCAAGCAATAGCCGTCATTTCTCCGTCTAGGTTAACTATAGACCCCATATAGTCCAGCTATGAGTAGGTTAACTATAGACCCGATATAGTCCGGCTATGAGTAGGTTAACTATAGACCCGATATAGTCCGGCTATGAGTAGGTTAACTATAGACCCGATATAGTCCAGCTATGAGTAGGTTAACTATAGACCCGATATAGTCCGGCTATGAGTAGGTTAACTATAGACCCGATATAGTCCGGCTATGAGTAGGTTAACTATAGACCCGATATAGTCCAGCTATGAGTAGGTTAACTATAGACCCGATATAGTCCGGCTATGAGTAGGTTAACTATAGACCCGATATAGTCCAGCTATGAGTAGGTTAACTATAGACCCGATATAGTCCGGCTATGAGTAGGTTAACTATAGACCCGATATAGTCCGGCTATGAGTAGGTTAACTATAGACCCGATATAGTCCGGCTATGAGTAGGTTAACTATAGACCCGATATAGTCCAGCTATGAGTAGGTTAACTATAGACCCGATATAGTCCAGCTATGAGTAGGTTAACTATAGACCCGATATAGTCCAGCTATGAGTAGGTTAACTATAGACCCGATATAGTCCGGCTATGAGTAGGTTAACTATAGACCCGATATAGTCCGGCTATGAGTAGGTTAACTATAGACCCCATATAGTCCAGCTATGAGTAGGTTAACTATAGACCCGATATAGTCCGGCTATGAGTAGGTTAACTATAGACCCGATATAGTCCGGCTATGAGTAGGTTAACTATAGACCCCATATAGTCCAGCTATGAGTAGGTTAACTATAGACCCGATATAGTCCGGCTATGAGTAGGTTAACTATAGACCCGATATAGTCCAGCTATGAGAAGGTTAACTATAGACCCGATATAGTCCGGCTATGAGTAGGTTAACTATAGACCCGATATAGTCCAGCTATGAGTAGGTTAACTATAGACCCGATATAGTCCGGCTATGAGTAGGTTAACTATAGACCCGATATAGTCCAGCTATGAGTAGGTTAACTATAGACCCGATATAGTCCGGCTATGAGTAGGTTAACTATAGACTTGATATAGTCCAGCTATGAGTAGGTTAACTATAGACCCGATATAGTCCTGCTATGAGTAGGTTTACTATAGACCCGATATAGTCCAGCTATGAGTAGGTTAACTATAGACCTGATATATAGTCCAGCTATGAGTAGGTTAACTATAGACCCGATATAGTCCGGCTATGAGTAGGTTAACTATAGACCCGATATAGTCCGGCTATGAGTAGGTTAACTATAGACCCGATATAGTCCGGCTATGAGTAGGTTAACTATAGACCCGATATAGTCCGGCTATGAGTAGGTTAACTATAGACCCGATATAGTCCAGCTATGAGTAGGTTAACTATAGACCCGATATAGTCCAGCTATGAGTAGGTTAACTATAGACCCGATATAGTCCAGCTATGAGTAGGTTAACTATAGACCCGATATAGTCCGGCTATGAGTAGGTTAACTATAGACCCGATATAGTCCGGCTATGAGTAGGTTAACTATAGACCCCATATAGTCCAGCTATGAGTAGGTTAACTATAGACCCGATATAGTCCGGCTATGAGTAGGTTAACTATAGACCCGATATAGTCCGGCTATGAGTAGGTTAACTATAGACCCGATATAGTCCGGCTATGAGTAGGTTAACTATAGACCCGATATAGTCCAGCTATGAGTAGGTTAACTATAGACCCGATATAGTCCAGCTATGAGTAGGTTAACTATAGACCCGATATAGTCCAGCTATGAGTAGGTTAACTATAGACCCGATATAGTCCAGCTATGAGTAGGTTAACTATAGACCCGATATAGTCCAGCTATGAGTAGGTTAACTATAGACCCGATATAGTCCGGCTATGAGTAGGTTAACTATAGACCCGATATAGTCCGGCTATGAGTAGGTTAACTATAGACCCGATATAGTCCAGCTATGAGTAGGTTAACTATAGACCCGATATAGTCCGGCTATGAGTAGGTTAACTATAGACCCGATATAGTCCGGCTATGAGTAGGTTAACTATAGACCCGATATAGTCCGGCTATGAGTAGGTTAACTATAGACCCGATATAGTCCGGCTATGAGTAGGTTAACTATAGACCCGATATAGTCCAGCTATGAGTAGGTTAACTATAGACCCGATATAGTCCAGCTATGAGTAGGTTAACTATAGACCCGATATAGTCCAGCTATGAGTAGGTTAACTATAGACCCGATATAGTCCAGCTATGAGTAGGTTAACTATAGACCCGATATAGTCCAGCTATGAGTAGGTTAACTATAGACCCGATATAGTCCAGCTATGAGTAGGTTAACTATAGACCCGATATAGTCCAGCTATGAGTAGGTTAACTATAGACCCGATATAGTCCAGCTATGAGTAGGTTAACTATAGACCCGATATAGTCCAGCTATGAGTAGGTTAACTATAGACCCGATATAGTCCAGCTATGAGTAGGTTAACTATAGACCCGATATAGTCCAGCTATGAGTAGGTTAACTATAGACCCGATATAGTCCAGCTATGAGTAGATTAACTATAGACCCGATATAGTCCAGCTATGAGTAGGTTAACTATAGACCCGATATAGTCCAGCTATGAGTAGATTAACTATAGACCCGATATAGTCCGGCTATGAGTAGGTTAACTATAGACCCGATATAGTCCAGCTATGAGTAGATTAACTATAGACCCGATATAGTCCAGCTATGAGTAGGTTAACTATAGACCCGATATAGTCCAGCTATGAGTAGATTAACTATAGACCCGATATAGTCCGGCTATGAGTAGGTTAACTATAGACCCGATATAGTCCAGCTATGAGTAGGTTAACTATAGACCCGATATAGTCCAGCTATGAGTAGGTTAACTATAGACCCGATATAGTCCAGCTATGAGTAGGTTAACTATAGACCCGATATAGTCCAGCTATGAGTAGGTTAACTATAGACCCGATATAGTCCAGCTATGAGTAGGTTAACTATAGACCCGATATAGTCCAGCTATGAGTAGGTTAACTATAGACCCGATATAGTCCAGCTATGAGTAGGTTAACTATAGACCCGATATAGTCCAGCTATGAGTAGGTTAACTATAGACCCGATATAGTCCAGCTATGAGTAGATTAACTCTAGATCCGATATAGTCCAGCTATGAGTAGATTACTATAGACCCGATATAGTCCAGCTATGAGTAGGTTAACTATAGACCCGATATAGTCCAGCTGTGAGTAGGTTAACTATAGACCCGATATAGTCCGGCTATGAGTAGGTTAACTATAGACCCGATATAGTCCGGCTATGAGTAGGTTAACTATAGACCCGATATAGTCCGGCTATGAGTAGGTTAACTATAGACCCGATATAGTCCGGCTATGAGTAGGTTAACTATAGACCCGATATAGTCCAGCTATGAGTAGGTTAACTATAGACCCGATATAGTCCAGCTATGAGTAGGTTAACTATAGACCCGATATAGTCCAGCTATGAGTAGGTTAACTATAGACCCGATATAGTCCGGCTATGAGTAGGTTAACTATAGACCCGATATAGTCCAGCTGTGAGTAGGTTAACTATAGACCCGATATAGTCCAGCTATGAGTAGGTTAACTATAGACCCGATATAGTCCAGCTATGAGTAGGTTAACTATAGACCCGATATAGTCCAGCTATGAGTAGGTTAACTATAGACCCGATATAGTCCGTTTGGACGGCTATTAGACGTCTTTTAAACTTGCTGGGTTCCTTCATCCGTGTCTGGTGAGGATCCAGGCGGTGTGTGAGTGACGTGGTTGTGTGTGTTCAGGCTAAAGCGGCGTTGAGCGGTGCCCTGTCTGCGGTTCGCCAGGAGTGTGTGGTGTTGAAGGAGCAGTTTGAGGAGGAACAGGAGAGCAAACAGGAGCTCCAGCGTCTCGTCTCTAAACTCAACAGTGAAATCACGCTCTGGAGGAGCCGCCTCGAGGCCGATGCCATCCAGCACTGCGACGAGCTCGAGGAAACCAAGTATGCATCAATGGTGTAAACACAATACTGACACACCGAATGTGGTTCCAGGTCAAAAATGAACTGCATTTTCAAATTGCATATAAATGTCTCGTTGTGCAGTATTGCGTGTGTATTAGAGCTGTGCGATTCAGTCCCCATTAGTCAATCATTTTATCCCTTAAAGCTCATCTTTTTCCTTGAATAAAAATAAGAATAAATAGCTTGAATGTAACTCGACACGCTTGCATCATTTCGTTTATGTTATTCTATGAATATGCAAATTAACCCCGCCTCCACTAACTCCCTAGATTAGTAGAGCTGCACGTTTAATTGTTAAATTATTAGGCAATAATTGTTAGTGCAATGCATTGTACTATAATGTTTAATAGACACCCAGATTATTCTACTGTATCAGTGTAACTTTTAAAGTGCCCCTATTGTTTTCCCAATATTCCCTTTCATGCCGTGTGTAATAAAGCTGTTTGGCTAACACTTTACAATAAGATTCATTTAGTTAACATTGGTTAATGTATTAATTAACATGAGCTATACATTTCTTACAATATTTATTAATGTTTATTAATAATAATCCAGCTGTTCTTTGTTAGTTCACAGTGCAGTAACTAATGTTAACTAATACAACCTTTGATTTTAATAACGTATTAGTTAATGTTGAGATTAATATGAACTAAGATTAATAAATGCTGATGAAGTATTATTCATTATTAGCTCATGTTCACTAATGCTCCTTATTGTAAAGTGTTACCGCTGTTTGTGAATGTAAACGTTCTGTAAAATTGTAAAGTCACGATAAATAAAGTTATTGTCTCCCAAACGAAAGAATGTACTCTGAACACACACTGATCCAGATCAATCCCAAGTCTGGATTACATGATCTAATCCCATTTACTCTTTAATAACCCATTTTTAAGATTTGGTCCGATCCACTTCTTTGGAGCAACATCAGCATGCCGTCTCTCCCGGTCTCCTCAGTAACGCTGTGTGTTTCAGGAAGAAGCTGTGTGTGCGGCTGCAGGAGGCCGAGGAGGCGCTGGAAGCCATGCAGACCAAGAGCTCCAGCCTGGAGAAGAGCAAGCAGCGTCTGCAGGGCGAGCTGGAGGAGCTGAGTGCGGATCTGGAGAAGGTCAGAACCCGTCTCTGATCCGCACCGTCACGCATGCGTCTCTCTAAGGCAATGCAGAGCAGAGACACACAGGGCAATGGCTGAAAAGCTGAATTTCTTTTTTAAAGGGACAGTTCACCCAAAAATGAAAATTACCTTATGATGTACTCGCCGTCAAGTCATCCAAGGTGTATATGACATTCTTCTTTCAGACGAATACAATCAGAGTTTTGGATAACACTTTATTTGCCTTTAACATCCTGTGGACTATAAGTAACTTTGCAACTACATGTCAACTAACTCTCATTAGAGTATGCGCAGACTCTGCTTAATATCTGCTAACTCTTTATTGTGATGCTCCTCCAACAGACAATCTACTGACTATAATATATCTGTCAAACATGTATATAACATCTGGAACAATCCGGATTAAAAACACACACACACACACACACACACACACAAATGAAGGCATACGACTATAGAGCATCCCCAATGCAGAACACACACACACATGCATACACATACACACAGACAGACACACACACAGTTCCCATTGGGAGGTCATATAAAGGGGCCAATGGGTTTTTTCTCCACTGTTTTTTTTTCACAGAAAAATTAATCCGTCACAAAGCACACAGATATGAAGTGATCAGATTTGAAAAACATTTACACTGAAGAACCTAAAAGACTCTTCACCAAAGAAACGTCACCAAACAAATTGTTAATGTCTAAATATATACTGGGATGCATTCTGATGACAACACCTGAAGGAGGTGCCTTTAGGACCGGGAGCAGCTCATGTGTCCAGAGGAGCTTTAAGGCCATCTAGTGGCAAGAGTCGTGAAATATCTTATATTATAGACACCCAATGTGAGAGTTTTAACTTTTCTAACACGTTTTTTGCATGTAATAGAGATATTTTGTATTTAAGTTGAAATAATGTAAAAAAATGTGCTTAAATTATGTTATTCAATTAGAACAATTTTCTAAAAACAATAGAAAATCATTAAATTTAAATGATATAAGCTTTCTGTAAAAAAACAAAACAAATTAGTATGTATAATTTTAGGGCTTTGGGTCATTTGCCATCCATCGACCCATCCATCCACCCATCCACCCATCCATCCATCCTCCCATCCATCCATCCATCCATCCTCCCATCCATCCATCCATCCATCCATCCACCCACCCATCCATCCATCCATCCATCCACCCTCCCACCCACCCATCCATCCATGCATCCATTCATTGATTTATCCATCCATCCATCCATCCATCCACCCATCCATCCATGCATCCATGCATCCATTCATTGATTTATCCATCCATCCATCGACCCACCCATCCATCCATCCATCCACCCATCCACCCATCCATCCATCCATCCATGCATCCATGCATCCATTCATTGATTTATCCATCCATCCACCCATCCATCCATCCATCCATCCACCCACCCACCCACCATCCATCCATCCATCCATCCATCCATCCACCCACCCACCCATCCATCCATCCATCCATCCATCACCCATCCATCCATCCATCCATCCATCCATCCATCCATCCATCCATCCATCCATCCACCCATCCATCCATCCATCCATCCATGCATCCATTCATTGATTTATCCATCCATCCACCATCCATCCATCCACCATCCATCCATCCATCCATCCATCCACCCATCCACCATCCATCCATCCATCCATGCATCCATGCATCCATTCATTGATTTATCCATCCATCACCCATCCATCCATCCATCCATCCCACCCACCCACCCACCCATCCATCCATCCATCCATCCATCCATCCACCCACCCACCCATCCATCCATCCATCCATCCATCCACCCATCCATCCATCCATCCATCCATCCATCCATCCATCCATCCATCCATCCACCCATCCATCCATCCATCCATCCATGCATCCATTCATTGATTTATCCATCCATCCATCCATCCATCCATCCACCCATCCATCCATCCATCCATCCATCCATGCATCCATTCATTGATTTATCCATCCATCCATCCATCCATCCATCCATGCATCCATTCATTGATTTATCCATCCATCCATCCATCCATCCATCCATCCATCCATCCATCCATCCATCCATCCACCCATCCATCCATCCATCCATCCATCCATGCATCCATTCATTGATTTATCCATCCATCCATCCATCCATCCATCCATCCATGCATCCATTCATTGATTTATCCATCCATCCATCCATCCATCCATCCATCCATCCACCCATCCATCCATCCATCCACCCACCCATCCATCCATCCATCCATCCATCCATCCATCCACCATCCATCCATCCACCCTCCCACCCACCCATCCATCCATGCATCCATGCATCCATTCATTGATTTATCCATCCATCCATCCATCCATCCACCATCCATCCATTCATCCATCCACCCATCCACCATCCATCCATTCATCCATCCACCCATCCACCCATCCATCCATGCATCCATCCATTGATTTATCCATCCATCCGTCCATCCATCTTCTGTTAAATGTGCAGGCCTGCTGGGCTCTGTATGGAGCAGCGCTGCTCTTTCCTCAGTAATCGTCTTCTCCTGCAGGCGAGCGCCATGTCTTCAGTGCTGGAGAAGAAGCAGAGGATGATGGACAAGCATGTGAGCGAGTGGAGGCAGAAGTGTGAGGATCTGCTGAGCGAGGTGGAGAACTGCCAGAAGGAGAGTCGACAGCACAGCGCTGAACTCTTCCAGATCAAGACGGCCCACGAGCAGGTGCTGGAGCAGAGCGAGGCTTTACGCCGCGAGAACAAGGCCTTGCAGGGTAACACACACACACACACACACACTCACACACACACACACACACGTGTTGGCTGTAACTCTCAGTGATGGTGTCGTACGTGTGTTTGCTGACGTGTGTTTCAGAGGAGATGGTGGATCTCACCGACCAGCTCTCCGATGGAGGGAAGAGCGTTCACGAGCTGCAGAAGATGAAGAAGAAGATGGAGATGGAGAAAGAAGAGCTGCAGGCGTCGCTCGAGGAGTCGGAGGCGGCGCTCGAGGTCTGACACACACTTCACTTCAGACTTTCCTGCAGATGTTTCTGAAGCGCTGCGGTGAGTTTGAGCGTGTGTGTGTGTGTGTTTCTGCAGGCCGAGGAGACGAAGGTTCTGCGTTTGCAGCTGGAAGTGTCTCAGATTAAAGCAGACGTTGAGCGAAGACTTCAGGAGAAGGAGGAGGAGGCCGAGGCCAACAGGTACCGTCGTCTTCATCATCTTCATCACTGAAATAACCTCTTCTGCAGTCAGTCCTTTAATCCCTCTGTTTTCTCCACCTCGTCCTTTATTTCCTGCCTTTCACTGACATGGAATAATCATTACGTGAGTAACTTCATCTCGCATCATCTTCTCTTCGGATCAGCCTTAATCCTGTCATTCACTGGCAGAAAGGAAAATAAACAGCTAACTATAAACTTTTCATATCAGGATACTGAAGAAAAAATAAATAAATAAACAGGCTTAATTATGGCTGATTAAGATGTTTTTTTCTATAGATATTGCGATTTAATATCATTATTGTGAATTCTGTTGCCCATAATAATTGAGTTGTGAAAATCTGATATTGTTACCAGGGTAATTATCATGAACTAAAACTACTTGAAATAAATTATTTTTATTGAAATAAAGATAAAATATAAATATAAGGTGAAAAACATAAAGAAAACGTAAATTAGAAATGTTGCCTTGGGAATTAATTATTAACTGGAAAAAACATAACACACTGAAATAAATATAAATTAAATCTAAATGATAAAATTAAAAAAAAAAACTCATTCAGTGATGGTTAATTTTGGTTGTAAAAAGTTAATAAAAAGCTTCTAAAAAATAATTTAACCCATATATATATGTGTGTGTATGTGCAGGAAGAGCCACCAGAGGGCGCTGGAGGCGGTCCAGGCCAGTCTGGAGGTGGAGCTGAAGCTGCGGGTGGAGTCGACGCGGCTGAAGAAGAAGATGGAGGCCGATCAGAGCGAGCTGGAGCTGCAGGTGGAGCAGATGAAGAAGAGCAGCGCTGAGATGATGAAGAGCATGAAGAAGATGCAGCAGCAGATCAAGGTCTCTTCCTCACTTTAATATCAGCATCATCCTCCAGTGAGATTCATGGTCAAACGTTTAATTAAACCAAATGTTATTACAACAAAATACAGTATTACAAATTATAGACGCTTTTTTCTTTCTTTTACATTAAAACCAAAACCAAAGATAATACACACAAATTAAAAGGAAAAAATAGATTTTTTTTTATAGAAATTATAGAAAATTATTGTAATACTAATACAAGTAGGTAATATACAATACGAGAGGCTGTGCTGTACCTTCATTCACAATACAGCACTAGCCTCGAGTACCTTATTGCTTTTATAAAACGTTAAATACAATGTGTATTAGTGCAACTTTCATGAAGTAAAATCACTAAAAGCCTTCCGTCCGCTGGAAAAAATAGTCCCTGACCGTGACCGAAGTTACATACATTATTTCGCCATTAGATGGCGGCAAAGACTATCTTTATGAGTGACTTTTATATTGGAAGGAAAAACTTGTGATCACGGAGAAGCAAGACGCAACTGACAAATGATTAGCGCATCACGGGAAAGTCACTTAACTGTTAAAAGGACAATATATCGCAGCGGAGATTCAAACTGATTCTTTATTACAAATTTAGGATTGACCCATGTCTGACTAAGTTATCCTCAAACCGGTCTTGGCGGCTCCTGCTCTCGCCAGATGAAGTGTGTGTGTGTGTGTGTTGTGCAGGATCAGGAGGCTCAGCTGGAGCAGGACGCTCGTGTGCAGGAGCAGCTGAAGGAGGAGCACACAGTGATGGAGCGCCGCTGCCTCCTGCTGGTCACTGAGGGAGAGGAGAGCCGAGCCGCGCTGGAGGCATCCGAGAGAATCCGCAGGAGTCTGGAGATGGAGCTGCACGAGATGGCCGAGAGACACAGCCAGCTGGACACACAGGTACTGACCACGCGGAAACCTTCCGATCTCTCTCTTCAATCCAACACTGAAGTGACTTAAACTTATATTCATCGGCTGGCCACTAGAGGCAGGCTGCAAACCAGAGTCAATCCCATAGACCCCCATGTTAAAACTGGATGGGTGGGTGGGTGGGTGGGAGGATGGATGGATGGATGGGTGGGAGGATGGATGGATGGGTGGATGGGTGGATGGATGGATGGATGGATGGATGGGTGGATGGATGGGTGGGTGGGAGGATGGATGGTGGATTAATTGGTGGATGGATGGATGAATGGATGGGAGGATGGATGGATGGATGAATGGTGAAAAAATGTGTTTACTACCTGGTACACAAAGTGGTTTTGGTCTATAAAGCTAATTTTGTGTGGGTTTGTGTGGTGTGGGTTTGTTTATAAATCATCCGTTTAAACGAATTATGCAGAAATGTAAGGCATAATATAATGGCCACTGGATTGACGCTGATGTCACCATTAGCCATTTGTCTGATGTCTGTTAGCGTCACCTCAGCCAATCCGCCTCTTTGCCAATTTTCGTTTATCCGGGAGTGGTGCTGCCAAGATGGTGACGTCCAGCTCCGCCCACTTTGGGCTTCAAAAACACTCTTCAGAAACAAAATGCGTGACGTCACACACACTACATCCATATTTGTATACAGTCTATGGTCTTACAACACTGTTGTGCTCAGAGTTGATCATAACTGTCATTACTTTAGCGACAGACCTGTGTATGATTGCTCTTAGCTGCAGTGAGTGACGGAGCTGTGTGTGTGTGTGTGTGTGTTTTCTAAGCTGCACAGTGTGTCAAGTGGCAGGAGGAAGCTGGAGGTGGATCTTCAACAGCTGATGCAGGAGAACGAGGAGCTGCAGACTGAGCTGAGATCAGCCAATGACAAGGCCAAGAAATCAGCCTCTGAGGTACATGCACACACACACACTCACACACACACACATGCTGAAGCTGACGGTGTGCTGTCCCACAGGCGGTGCGTGTGGCGGAGGAGCTGCGGGTGGAGCAGGAACACGTCACACACCTGGAGCGCGTCAGAAAGAGCCTGGAGATGCAGATCAGAGACGCCGGCAGCCGGATGGAGGAGCAGGAGCAATCGGCCATGAAGGGAGGCAAGAAGATCCTGCACAAGATGGAGGCACGGGTAAAGATAAATCATAATCATGAAATTGATTGATTGATTGATTTTACTTGACCACCTAAATATAAAAATATGAAAACAGTATGAAACTGTTTCATACATTAAAATCAAATACAAAAGTAGACTTATTTCCATCGTGGTCCCTTATAAAGGCAGCGGAAGAAGACAAGTGGCAACACACTCACATACATTTACCAAATTCACACATATTATACAGAAAAAATAACGTGTGGTATTATACAAACTACAACTGGCCCCTAAACCATACTTTCAGACCTTCTTACTGTCTTGAGTGTACCAGGGAACCAATTCCAAAGGGTAGCTCCAACATAAAGAAAAGACTGAAAATCTGGGGGGTACAAAATCGGTTGAGCTACCCCTAGTGGAGTACCTGTGAACTTCGTTTACTCTATTATAATGATTTCTAAAATATTTGGGAGCATCTCCATAAACAATTTTATGTACCATACCCAGCTGCATCTGAGACACTCGATCCTCAACTTTTCCTTTCAAAGTGGGAAGATTCCAGATGAGTTCAGATGATCTCAAAACTGACATAAAAGGTCATTAATATGATGAGAAATCATGATTAGGACAAACTAAATCAGATTCATGAGATTACATTGTGTGTGTGTGTGTGTGTGGTGCGTTGAATCACACGTACAGGTGAAGGAGCTGGAGCTGGAGCTGGACACCGAGCAGAAGAAACACGCCGAGACGCTGAAGAACCTGCGCAAGAACGAGCGACGCCTGAAGGAGCTGCTCTTCCAGACCGAGGAGGACCAGAAGAACCAGCAGAGGATGCAGGAGCTGGTGGAGAGACTGCAGATGAAGATGAAGGCCTACAAGAGACAAGTGGAGGAGGCGGTACGACTCTGCCTGTTACCTGTGCTGGTCAGTGCTGGTGTAGACACACACGCGTCACTGGCGGCTCATTCTACTTAAAGGAGTAGTTCACTTTTGAAAAAACTTTTGCTGATAATTTACTCGCCCCCGTGTCATCCAAGATGTCCATGTCTTTCTTTCCTCAGTCGAAAAGAAATTTAGGTTTTTGATGAAAACATTCCAGGATTTTTCTCCATATAATGGACTTCAATGGGGTCCAAACGGTTCAAGGTCCAAATGAGAGTTTCAGTGCAGCTTCAAATGTCTTTAAACGACACCAGACGATGAATAAGGGTCTTATCATGCGAAACGATCACTTATTTCAAAGCTTATTCCAAAAATGTAACTTTTCTAAGGACAAATGCTAGCCTAGCTCTATTCTGTGAGGCGCGTTTGTAACGTCACGTAATACGTAATTACGTTCAAAAGGTCACGGGCGACGTAGCCGGAGTGTTTACAAGTTGAACGCATAGGTTGAACGTGCAAACTAACTCAAACGCCGTTTACAAAAAAAGGAATTAAAAGGTAAAACAACGATGTCGGACGATTTTGATTCTGTACTTCCGGCTACGTCGCCCGTGACCTTTTGAACGTAATTACGTATTACGTGACGTTACAAACGCGCCTCACAGAATAGAGCTAGGCTAGCATTTGTCCTTAGAAAAGTTACATTTTTGGAATAAGCTTTGAAATAAGCGATCGTTTCACATGATAAGACCCTTATTCATCGTCTGGTGTCGTTTAAAGACATTTGAAGCTGCATCTGAAACTGTTATTAACCGTCTTTTGGACCTTGAACTGTTTGGTCCCCATTGAAGTCCATTATATGGAGAAAAATCCTGGAATGTTTTCATCAAAAACCTTAATTTCTTTTCGACTGAGGAAAGAAAGACATGGACATCTTGGATGACACGGGGGCGAGTAAATTATCAGCAAAAGTTTTTTCAAAAGTGAACTACTCCTTTAAGCTGATGGACCCACAAACTTCCTGCAAAGCCAGGAGGGGTAGTGAGTCTTTCCAGCATAAACCAGCACTGTTACTTTTTTTGGTCTTGTTTTGTTTTTCTTTGTTACCTCCCCTCCTGACCCCGAGACCGGGAGGAGAACGTAACCAGCAGTAACCGAAGTTTAATCTGAAGTGTGTGTCCTGGAATAGGAGGAGCAGGCGAATGTTCACCTGGTGAAATACAGGAAGACGGTTCACGAGCTCGACGACGCAGAAGAGCGAGCCGACATCGCAGAGTCTGCACTCACGAAGATCAGGAGCAAGAGGAGCGGGAGCTTCGGGAAGGGCTACTCATCCGTGAGTGTGTGTGCGCATTGCATTCTTGCTCGTATAATAAGATCAACATTAAAAACACTGCTGGATGTCAGCCTGCGTTTTGATCGCACAAACAGCTCGAGCAGCTCGTAACAGAACAAACACCGACTGAATGAGCCTTTAAGTAGAAAATCTCAAATGTAGAGAGAGGGTGTGCGCATTGCAATTCGCGTGGTTGCCAGATACTATTGAAATGACCGGCTAAAAATCGTGTTCTTTTAACGGAAAAGCCCTGACTGGGGGTTTTATGAGAGACTTTATATCTCAAAATTCTGACTTTATTTTTTGTAATTCTGACTTTATATCTCGAAATTCTGACTTTATTTCTTGTAATTCTGACTTTGTTTCGAAATTCTGACTTTATTTCTTGTAATTTCTTGTAATTATGACTGCAACAACTTGTAAAAGTTTATAACACAATTCTGAGTAAAAAAGTCGGAATTTCAAGATATAAATTCACAATTCTGACTTTATATCTTGAAATTCTGACTATTTCTTGTAATTCTGACTTTAACTTCTTGTAATTCTGACTTTATTTCTTGTAATTCTGACTTTATTTCTTGAAATTCTGACTTTATTTATTGTAATTCTGACTAATTTCTTGTAATTCTGACTTTAATTTCTTGTAATTCTGACTATTTCTTGTAATTCTGACTATTTCTTGAAATTCTGACTTTATTTCTTGTAATTCTGACTTTATTTCTTGTAATTCTGACTTTATTTCTTGAAATTCTGACTTTATTTCTTGAAATTCTGACTTTATTTCTTGCCAGATACTATTGAAATGACCGGCTAAAAATCGTGTTCTTTTAACGGAAAAGCTCTGACTGGGGGTTTTACGTTTTGAAATCTGGCAACCGTAAGCATGAACACTCGTAAAACAGGCAATGTGTTGTCGTCTCCTTTATTTGACATAAACAAGTGGTTTTGTCAAGTTTTAATTGTTTTAAAAACATTTCAGTCTTGTCTTTTTTCGTCAACGATATTGCATGTGTTGATATCGTCACATTGATCGTTTAATGACGTGGGTGTCGTCTCTCATCGTCTTGTCTTAGTCAGGGAAAAAAAGGTCGTCAACGAACATTTTTCGTCATAGTTTTCGTTAACGAAATTAACATTGGTGTGAGTGAGTGTGTGTGTGTGAGTGAGTGTAACGCTCTACTCTCTCGTCTCTCAGGGTTACAGCACACCCTATCCAGCGCTGGTGAGGTCACCTGGGTCAGTGGGGTCAGAGGGCAGAGGTCAGAAGGTCACAGATGACGACGAGTCCCTCAACTCTCTCATTCCCAAGTACTTGAACTCGATGAAGAAACTGATGATCGATTAGATCTGAGTCTTCAGTAACATCAGGTTCATTAGTTAACATGAGCAGGATACGCATCAAAAAACGAGAAATGCATTGAATGGATATGCAGTATATATACTTTATTATTTCCTTGCTCAATAGCGTCTTGTTTGCGTTAGTTTTGTATTATTGAGATACCAACTGATGACAGCTAGCTACATAAATATAGCAGACTATAAATCTTATTTAGTAAAACATTACATTTAACATCATTTATATTACAGAAGACAATAACTGGATGATATTCAGCAGTTCTTCATTCACGCGTGTGTTTAAGAGAGCGTCAGTAATGGAGATCCAGTTTCAACCACTTGAAAATCATTTACAAAAGTTGTTAATTGATTTGGTATAAAAACAAGTATTGAGCAGAATTATGTCCATATATTATCTGTGTCTCTGACTATATACGGATCGTTTGGGGAAACTATACTAATGAGTGTCTGAGACTTCTGTAAATCTGAACAGAAGATAAAAGTCCTGGTGTGATTGTGTGTTTGTTCACTGAGAGATGTGAACCAGTGTGGATATTAATCTACAGATACAGATATGCTGAGAGTTTGACCTTGACTTCTGTAATATCCAAAATTGCTTCCTCCAAATAAATAGGCAAAAGAAAAATTTTGTTGACATTATTTCTCGCTATTATTTCTGACTATCTCTTGTAATTCTGACTTTATTTCGCAATTCTGACTTTATATCTCGAAATTCTGACTTTATTTCTTGTAATTCTGAATTTATGTCTTGAAATTCGGACTTTATTTCTTGTAATTATGAATGAATTTATTTCTTGTAATTCTGACTGCAACAACTTGTAAAAGTTTATTAACACAATTCTGAGTAAAAAAGTCAGAATTTCAAGATATAAATTCACAGTTCTGACTTTATATCTCAAGTTTTTGCCACACAATTCTGACTTTATTTTGCAATTCTGATTTTATAACTCGAAATTCTGACTATTTCTTGTAATTCTGACTTTAATTTCTTGTAATTCTGACTATTTCTTGTAATTCTGACTTTAATTTCTTGTAATTCTGACTATTTCTTGTAATTCTGACTTTATATCTCGGAATTCTGACTTTATTTCTTGTAATTCTGACTTTGTAATTCTGACTTTAATTTCTTGTAATTCTGACTTTATTTCTTGTAATTCTGACTTTATTTCTTGTAATTCTGACTTTAAATTTCTTGTAATTCTGACTTTATATCTCGAAATTCTGACTATTTCTTGTAATTCTGACTTTATTTCTTGTAATTCTGACTTTATATCTCGGAATTCTGACTTTATTTCTTGTAATTCTGACTTTGTAATTCTGACTTTAATTTCTTGTAATTCTGACTTTATTTCTTGTAATTCTGACTTTATTTCTTGTAATTCTGACTTTAAATTTCTTGTAATTCTGACTTTATTTCCTGTAATTCTGACTATTTCTTGTAATTCTGACTTTATATCTCGAAATTCTGACTATTTCTTGTAATTCTGACTTTATTTCTTGTAATTTTGACTTTAATTTCTTGTAATTCTGAATTTATTTCTTGTAATTCTGACTGCAACAACTTGTAAAAGTTTATAACACAATTCTGAGTAAAAAAGTCTGAATTTCAAGATATAAATTCACAGTTCTGACTTTATATCTCGAGTTTTTGCCACACAATTCGGACTTTTTTTCCTTGTAATTTATAACTCGCCATTTTAAAGGCGGAATCACAAGAAAAGAAGTCAGAATTGTGATATAAAACATTGCTATATCATATTTTATGTTTTATTCCGTGGTGGAAACGAGTGTTGGTTGAAATCAACACTTGTTAATCCATGTTTCTGGTCTTACTGTGAATAATTCATGAAGTTATTATTAAAAAAGGTCAGAAGTATCAGTTCATCAGAGATTAATGAGTCGCTCCACTCCGGGATCCGCTTCCTCTTCCACGTCCGTCTAGGGAAATCCCACCGTACAGTTCCTCATCCTCATCAAATCTCCATTCTCACGGTTTCGAATCTGTCATCATGCGCATCATCTAGATCTGCAGTTCATGTCAACTGGAAGCGATGGCTTTGATTAGTCACAGAGTGAAATCAGTAGCAGCTTTTATATATTAGCAGTGTTCCTAACAGATCAGACGATGTTCAATGCATCAGACGATCGTGACACACACACATCGGTTCTCCTGAGGGAAGTCCTGGAGATATTTACACTCGATCTCCCGCTGGGTTTGAGACGTGATCGTCCTGTTGTTTAGGCTGTAACTCGGCCGCCGGGTCTCTCTCTCCGTTGAGTCGATCTGCAGTGTATCTCTCTCTCTCTCTCTCCCCCTCAGACCTCCATGTCGACCGGCCTCAGCGCTCCTGTTTTGTGTTCTTTTACCCACAGTTCTCGGTCTCTGGCGGGATCGACGCTCCGCAGGAGTTTGTCCACCGGCTCTACAGTCTGGATGAGGAACATGTTACGCCACGGTGTTATTACATGACAATCAATCAAATTAACCGTCAATATTACAGAAGTGAATCAATCAAACTATCTGGACAATAGCTTTACTCTAGATCTGCTGTGACTGTAATCTCCTGTTCTGCTGTGAAACTCTATACTGTTAAAGCGCTGGATAAAGGAAGGAGACTCGACTAGTTGGGGAAAATGAAAAGAAATGCATTACAATATTGCATTACTCAGTAACTAATGCAAACTATAATTGCATTGCTTAGCTACTTTTTAAGAAAAGTAATCTGATTACATCACTCAAGTTACTTGTGATGAGTTACACTGGTTATTCCTCTTGATCTGCATTAGGCGTCCTGAATGAGTGTGTGTGTGTGTGTGTGTGTGTGTGTGTGTGTGGACTCACGCTCTGGTTGAACATGTCGGTCTCGTGGCGTAGTGTTGTGTACTGACACAGATGTTGTCGGATCATCTCCACGCGCTCCACCTCCAGACGCTCCAGCTCCTGACCAACACACAACACTCTACAATTACACACACTCCTCAACATGTCAAGTGCATCTAAAAACTTCATCAAAGTTGTCCTGAGACATTCATGTATAACTTTTGATCCACTTCAAATGTTGACTTCTGTATATATATTTGTATATATGCACATGTTTTTCCATCTTAAACCGCCCCTATTCTGCTATTTTCCTAATGTTGTTTTAGCGTCTCCTCTAACAGGTTTACGTCATTCCAGCTCAGAAACACTGATTTCCTCTGCAGCTTCAGCTCTTTCCTCTCAGTGTCTGAAACGCTTCCATTGAAGCTAAGCCCCGCCTCTCTGAGAGCCGCTCTGCTCTGATTGGTCAGAACGCTCATTATCATATCGGAATCTCAGCTCTTGATCGCAGTGATACGAACAGTGGCGATGGCGAGGGTTTCACCGTATCAGAAAACACGAACAACACGAGCCGAACTCTCCCAGTCTCAGATACACTACAGTGTTTGAGGGCGGAGCTAAGAGACGCTGCTCAGCCAATCAGGACAAGAGGTCGGGATTATGCTAAAAACCCACCATGTTTGTAAAATGTCCCGCCCCTTTCCATAACCGCCAGTTTAACACACTACTAACTAACTCAACCAGGCCCCGCCCCTTTATTCTGCGCATTAATTATTATAATGAGGAATATTGTGACGTGTTCCTGGGAGAAACTCGAGGAGTTCAGGAACACTGACACTGATGTAGAGGAGAACTGGAGCAACATCACACACACTGAATCATGGGTCCTCTTTAACATTTGTAACATTTTACATTTTTAACTCTAATCCAACCATTACCCCCAAACCCAACGCTAACCCGCACAATTATGACATCATCATCTGACAGAATCTCTATTATGCGTCTTGATTTGACTCTTTAGTTCAGAAACATTAAACAGATCACTTCAGTCAGAAGTGTGTGAAAAATCATCCTCACGTGTGTGTGTTCAGTGTGTGTGTGTGTGTTTCTCAGTCTTACCAGGCTGCTGGTGACCATCTCCTCAAACCACTTGGACTGGGACTGATTGTAGAGGTCGACACATCGCATCAGCTCGTCTCCTGAGGTCAGAGCAGGAGTTACACACACGTCAAGGTTATCACACACACACACACACAGTCATCAAGGTTATCACATTCATGCATCACACACTTGTCTATAGCAGCGCTACCACAGTCCGACACTAGATGTCAGCAAACACACACTTTCCTATCCGACTCGAGGTTGGCTGTGTTTGATTTCTACTTCCTGAACACTCTCAGGATACACTTTATTCTAGTTTAGGAATAGTGTGTGAACCTGTCGACATTTTTCCAAAGATAAACACTGTAAAAAGGGATCAGTTGCCCTAACTTAAATTATTAATAAACTTCATGCTTTAGCAAAAAAATTAAGTAATGTGGAATTGTCAAGTTCACAAAACTTAATTAAACTGATCATACCTTAACTTTCTTCAATGAAGCATTACGGTAATAATGTTTTTAAGTGGCAGGACGGCAGTGTAAGGAAGCGGGTCATGTGATAGTTGTGTTCTTCACTGTGATTGGTTGGCCAGATGTGTTGTGATGAAGAAACTGACCGGCTTGTGTGGATTTTCTGCGCGCTTTCTTGATGTCCTCCTCCATTTTACTGCTGAGCTTGATCTCCAGCTGCTGGGTTTTCACTTCTAGATCCTTCTGCCGATCCGAGAGCGCTTTACGGGCCTTATAAAGCATGAAGAATATAACAGATGAGATGTGCTTTATTCATACGCCATCTTCAGATGTTCAGAGACACGTCGAGATCCAGACGCTCTTGAATAAATTAAACCTGTCGATGTACGGTGAACTTCACAGATAAATATCTTTCCTGATTCACTTCGGATGATAAATGAACCTGATAATTCAATAGCCTCCTAACAGTGGCATATTCCAATCTGGACAATTCAATCCATATCCGTTCTTTACATTATGCTGTTTCAGTCGAAGATGAAAACACTCGCATCACGTCAAACGCTGAAAACACTGATCATCACACAGAAACACGCCGAGTTAAATCTGACTTTTTAATTATAAAAGATTCAATTTGTGTTTTATCGTGAAACACATGGAAGCTTGTTTCCAACACAGAATAAAAATTAAAAGGAAATGGCAAGTGATGAAGTCAGAATTCTGAATAATAAAGTCAGAATTACGAAAAATAAAGTTCCAATTGTGATAAATAATAATTACAAGAAATAGTCAGAATTACGAGAAATAAAGTCAGATAACAAAAAATAAAATCAGAATTACAAGAAATAAAGTTAGAATTACGAGAAACAAAGGCAGAATTATGAGAAATAAAGGCAGAATTACGAAAAAAATAATGTCAGAATTGCGAGAAATAAAGTTAGAATTAAGAGAAATAAAGTTCGAATTACGAAAAATAAAGTCAGAGTTACGAGAAATAAAGTCAGAATTGTGAGAAATAAAGTCCGAATTGCGAGAAATAAAGTCAGAATTGCGAGAAATAAAGTCAGAATTGCGAGAAATAAAGTTAGAATTAAGAGAAATAAAGTTCGAATTACGAAAAATAAAGTCAGAGTTACGAGAAATAAAGTCAGAATTGTGAGAAATAAAGTCAGAATTGCGAGAAATAAAGTCAGAATTGCGAGAAATAAAGTCAGAATTGCGAGAAATAAAGTCAGAATTTTGAGAAATAAAGTCAGATTTAAGAGAAATATAGGCAGAATTACGTAAAAATAATGTCAGAATTACGAGAAATA